AAATACGTCAAAAATTTCAGTTGTTCCTAAAAATATTGAACGGCTGAAAAAGTGTGTTGTGGGCGGTGTGCTAGAGCTAACACCATAAATTTACAACATTTTGATATTTACTACCAGTTTGTCAGAATCGTAAAAAAAAGAGGGGAGGGGGGAGGTCGTAAAGATTTTGAACGCACTGTATTACATGTTTTTCGGTGAATATTCATTTTTGAGACTTTTTTAGAATTCATAAACAAGGTGATAATAATTGTATAGATCTGTTTTTTTATTTTTTGTTAACAATATTTTTCTGGCCAAATTAAGAGTAATCAGTTTTTTGGGACCTTCCACAGCCTATTCTAACTGAATCACAAACCATTGTATCAATTAGGAAAATTAAAATTCATAAAATGAGAACTAGCCTAATGCTAATAATAAGTAAGAGAAAGTCAGCTTCCACTCTGAAATTTAATAACACCGATATATGTCGAAGAACAAGCAAACCGATGAAAACATACACAAAAAACAAGAGCAAAGCGATGTACGGCTTCATCGAGAAAGGGGAAAGTGTCAGAAATCAAATATAGATACATTCGGAGTGTAGTGTGAGCCTCTTCTCTTTTTTTCTTCTCGTCATGTCTCATTAGATTTGATGCCCATGAACTTTTGTTTTTTGTATCAGAGATGGACAGAAAAGAAGAAAATTGAGTTTGGTTGGAGCCTTCGACTGGTCAGTTGTACAAATTTGAACTGTACATTTTTAGAGAGTGGGAATTTTTAGAAAAGAACGACTATTGTTGAATTTCTATAACTCACAATGTGTGAGTGTTATTCAATAATGCCAATTGTGTTTCGACTTTTGCATTTTTCAGAAATGGTAACATCAGAAATCCACTGATTTGAACCATGCTAAACTTTTTGCATTGCTTTAAGGTATAGAAAAAGTATTGAACAGAATTTCGAAAGATTACTGAAAACTAAACAGGAAATGAAGAGCCAATCCTAACAACATACATTCCAATTTACACAAATCTCAAATTGAACTCTTGATCTTACAAAATGCGTATTTTTCTAGGAAAACCGGATACTGTTGCAATGTTTCCTCCTCTTCAAAAACCAGGAAATGAAATTGAGGAACAACATGACGCCAACTTTTTTATTACTTTCCCTTTGGAATTCCAAATTTGGAAAAAATGGGCAAAGGTAATTTGTCACACGAGAAGGAAGATAAACGATCATGTGGATACTGTGAATAAACCAAGAAGGTTCAAAGCGAGTTTTGAAAATTGGTCCAATAGAACCAACTTTCGTGACTCAACTTGTTAAATTTGGCTTATTAAGGGTCAGAATAAGAAAGTAAGAAAAAAAAACAAAAAGATGAATAACATATATATTAGCAACAAGAAATAAAACTTGGGCTGAAATTTGTGCCACTTGGGCTCCTCATGTTTTTTTACGGTCCGATGAAATAATTATGGACCCTCAAAATGAATGTGTTCAATTGAAATAACTAACCAGAAATTGAAAGCAATAACTTTTAGACATTCAGAATTCTCAGGACACTTTTTTGTCTTTCGAAAATCGCTAGCGAATCAAAATTTTTTTTTCAGTGGACAAGCTAAGAAAAAAAGGAAATAGGGGAATAAGAATTGTGCAGATTATCGAATCTAATCGTGTTAGTGATTTGCCATTTCCGAATCGGAGGACATTGCTTGTGCTCCTCCTTGCTCATCCAACATCACTCACACTATTTAACGAGAACATTTTCTCCAGTGAGATTCAAATGACGATAAATTGACATAAAAATCGGCACGTTCACCAACCGAAAAAGAGCTCTATTTCATTAAGAAGGGTACGCAAGAAAGATGGGATGAAAGAAGAATCAAAACAACAAAATACGCGTAAAATGAGTGCAATGACGTGAAATCGGATTTCGGAGAAAAGGAAACTTCAAGAAAACAATGAAAGAACAACGAGAATCGTCTTTACATTACAAAAAACGACGACCTCATAAGTTGAAATGTGTATCTCTCGCTATAGTCTGTAATTCCGAATGTGCTACCCGACGAGAGACTGGTCGAGTTCATGAATATTTGATTCAGTTCGGGAAAAAAATTAAACATTTTTATCTGCGTTGTAGTCGCTGGAACAAAGGTTGTGGAGGGTGGAAGTGCATTCGTATGATTGTATATTATTCATGTTGAATGACAGATCTACGAAACAACTTTTTTGTTGGGTAGGGGTAACATTTTTGGAATAGGGGTGCATAATGTTTCAATGGTTGTCAGAAAAAATTATTGCTATCAGAAATTCAGATATGATTTGAATAAGTTGAAAACGTTGCAATTGCCCTGAACGCACTGATAGAATAAACAGTAAATTTTGATGTCGAGCCTAATTTATCTCGGTTCCTGTGAAAGATATCAAAAAGTGGTCAAGTGATAAAATATTTTTGATGATATGATGAACATCTTGTCAATTAATCATTTTTGATATCTTTCACGGAAAATTAGGTACATGCGATCAAAGTGGGGACATTTAACCAGAGCGTTTACGATGTATTTCGAAGCTTCCCTGAATTGAATGTATTCAACCTGGAACAGAATTCCAGAATATATGAAAAATTAATGATTTTTCAAAATTATGTCGAATCAAAAAACAACTATCGAAATTTCAGAAATGAACATTTGGAACTTAAAAAAACATACTTGCAATCGGCCTTTGCCAGGCTTTCGCTGACATTGCTATAGTTTCTTTTGGAATCAATATTTTCAGACCAACTGAGTCAGATAAGATAAAACTTGTGCCTTGTCTATAAGGCAAATAACTCGGAGGGTACAACAATTTTGAGGTCATTGGTGTACAAGAAAATTTAGGGGTACAAAATGCTCAATTCGGAGGTGCAAAACACCTGAAAAAATACGGATTTTGTACCTCCGAATTATAGATTTTGTACCCCTAAATGGCCCGTTTGCCGTTTTGCAAATATAAAAAAAGCGGAACATTTGTAGGCGTATAGCAAAAACTTGGCGTCAGTTTTTAAAATTACGGGCATTCCGATATTCCAAAAAATGATTTCGGAATATTTCTGAAGTTGAAGAAAGCATCGATTTTGGGCGATTTCAAAATAGCTGAAAATTAGAAACAAAATAATGATTGGAGTTATGAATTTTTTGCTATTAGTCTGTCTCGAAACCCTAAAACATAAAACTGTGTACAAAAGGAAACAAATTTTGCAAAGATCCAGACAAACAATCTCTATGATACCAGCTAATTAGGAATCACGGAAGTAATGCACTATTTTTCTCTATAAAAACCAGGCGATTCAAAATTTTTGATCGTTGTCCCGATGCAGCAGAAATGAACGGAGAATTTGGAAGACGGAAAAATCAAAAACAAATATTTTTAGAGTCTGGAGCAATAAACCAGTATCAAGGAGGCAAACAAATATCTGGGTTCATCATTCGGAACACATTTCGCTCAATCAAATATGATGAAATATTTCTGTCTGGCGAGACAATATGATTCATTTTCATAATGGTTGAAATAATTAGAACGTGGGAAACGATAATATGGAAAAATAATTTTTTTTAACATTTCGTTGAGATTTAAGAATAATTTTCTGTAGAAGTTGCTTAGACTACAATTAGCTAAAACTTTATTTGAAATTATTTTTGAAAAACTTGAAGCATTCCATCATTTTAAAAAAGTTCAAACAACTCCGACGTGTTTAACTGGAATATTCCAGAAGGTGTGAAAAAAAAGATTCGATGATATAAGTTTTACATTATCAGTTAAAACGCCTTGATGTGAATAAGCAAGGACGTCTAGAAGTTCGAAGAGAGAATCACACAACTATAAATAAAGAAACCGGATACTTAGTTCCTGGATTTGGGCGGATGTGCGGGTGCAAAACAAAACATTAATGAATCTCATGTGCAAACGTTAGATATGTAGCACAGGTTTGAATAATTGATAGAAGAATGTTTTATACTGTGGTTCTTATTGTTCACAGATGCAACAAACCACAGAAGTCTAAAAATTAATGTTTCAGAGAACAGAACAATGTTTATGGTGTCGTAAGTTGTAATTCTTGATATTAAGTGATTTTCCGATTTACAGGGTCAAATTGACTTTTGAACAGAATTTTCTCAAAAAACTATTGAATGAAAATATCTCATTTTTGGACACAGTACTTGAAGCTCTATCCATACTTGCAATTTGTATTAGAGAACATTGTTTTAAGTTACACTGTAACCAGTTTGAAGTTTATAACAAATAATAATGAAATTAACCAAAAAAAAAAAAAAGGTCGGCTAAAAAATAATGGTTTTTTCGATGAAAAATTGAGTTTAGTTAGAAAAGAAAGTTGACGAAATCAATACAAAAGATATTCGCCATCATGTCAATTACTTGTCACCAAAGTACTAAGCATGGATTCCAATATAAAATTCTCCACTGGCTGCGACTCAAATTTTGACAGACGTGCTACTCGTTGGTTTTTACTGATAGGATGTAACTTCGGTTTTTTGCAGAACCATAAGCATATTTTGATGAACTCTGGGAATTCTGGGAATGAAAAATTCAGACTTTGCCGAAATAACTTTCTCGCGAAATGCTGACGTTAATATTTTATTCACAAAAACGGAATACAATAGAATTATGACTTGAAAGCTATGTAATTCAGAGATCTGACCGGAAGATTCACTCTTCCGATCATGCAATAAAGTAGAACATCGAGAACAGAATAACACTGAACAGAACATTTATGACAGTTTAGAGAACTAGAAATAGAACGGAGATGATGTGACCGGAAAGTGTTGAAGGTGAAAGTAGGAAATCAGAAATCTGATGAAGGCACTGTAGGATTTCTTTTTTGTTGGAAAAAATGTACAGATTAAAGAGCAATTTTAGTGATTAATTAGAATCACCATGCTACAAATGAGATGATTATGAAGTTTTTTCTAATATAGTTATGGTTTTGTTGTTAAACAAGTTGATTTTGTCTACCCGTTAATGAGTTAGTGTATCCGTCGAGGAAATTCTTCAAAGTAGGCGGGAAATCCGTTTGCAACGATGACAATTTTTTGAGGGGTGTCTCTGAAAAAAACGCTGGTTTATAAGATAATAGATCTGAAATTCTTACCGATGAATCATATAATCTGGAATTTGGCAGCACTTCGAAACGGATGGAGAAACATCAATAAGTGGTGTTTCAAAGCTGAAAATGTTAATGATTAGTGATCGGATATATGTTTCCGGAACATGAGGAATGACTTTTAAAAGATATGGTTGTTTTACTGAAAAAAAATGTTCAGTTTGTTTGAATTTTGAACATCTAATAATAGAAAAAATGTAAACCGTAAAACCTGTAATAGTAAGGACCTTCACGCTGACAAATCGGAACTTATTTTTTTCGGTTCCTGACAAATATATCAAAAATGTGACAGCAGATTAAAAAAAATGTAATATTATGATCAACATTTCATCAGCTGATAAAGTATTCATGTCTTTGTCTTGAACCGTAACCGAAAAAAACTAGCTTCAACTTGTCAGCGTGGGAGCTTTTCTAAACTTGATTTACGGTTTTTTAAGTCTTTCAAATGTTATATAACTGAAATTACCTTCTATTCCCATCCGATGAAGAAGAATCAGTTTCTGATGACTGCCTTGAAGTTGTGGGACTCATTGTATGATTTGGTCCCAGTGAAGAAGCCAACTCCTTAATTATTTTCTCTCGATCCCAGCCGTTCGGAATAACAACAGCTGCTGGCTCAGAATTAGTTCCACTCTTTTGAGAATTCCCAATACTCTGATCAAAAACTGCTGATTGATTCAGATTTTTCAATATTCTTTCTGGAAATTCCTGAAGTAGCCCTGCTTCCACTGAAGCCATTGTTTGAGGTGGTGGAACAATTGCAGGTATAGTATTCCAGCTGGGATGGGGAGCTGGAGGTTGTGGAATTTTCATTTCAGCGCCGATATGGAAATTGGGAATAGGTGCAGAAACTGGAAGTTGGAGGGGAAGTTGATGTGGTTGCAGTTGTGGCGGCAATTGGACTGGGTTTTCTTGAATTTCAATTTTTTGGGGCTGAGGAGTTGATACTTGGATATTTGTTTTTGTCGGTGTTGTAACCGTAGGCTTTACAAAAGCCATTTCATTTACATTTGTTGCTCCATTGACGCTTGGAGTTGAGTCTCTTGAAGACGTCTCTTTAGCAATTTCTTTTTTCTTTTTAGTTTCTTCCGGGCCTGACGGAGTATCTTGAATTTCCATTTTTACATTAGCTAAGGACTCTGAACGAGGCACAGATTCCAGAAATGTTTTATAAATTTCCGATGGCTCGGGTATGGGGATTTTTAAAATCTCTGAATTCAGATCCAGTTCTTCCGTTTTTATTTCAGCGGATGTCGATACTTCGCTTGTCTCGCGTGGTACAGAAGATTTCAACATTGATCGCTCTTTTCGCTTTCTGAAGATGAATAGTTAGATAGTGAATCTTGAGATGAAATCAACCCACAATGATTTTTCCTTTTCCACTTGTTTTTGTACCATATCGGTGATCGACTTTTGCATTTCAACGACATTATCATCGGCGCGTGACCGTCGTGTAGAAGTTCCTTTTCTGCAAAATTCATTGCTCATTTACAAACTATATTGATTTATTATGAACGCCCACACTTTGCTATACCACTCCTATTTCCTATATTATTTGCTCAATCACCTTGGTTGCTTTATTCTATTTCTCTACCTTTGCACACTCACAGACACACATAGTATATAGTGGTCAAGCTAAAGGAACATTGATTTTAAAAGAAAACACTGGGTCTTGGATTTTGGGTCACTGGTCTGGTTTCCTTCCATGCATAAAACATGAAGCGGAACTAAATATCAATCACACATCTACATAGTCGTCATATATATAGAAAATAAAAATAAGTGGTCTCGCATGACAGATGAAAAATGTTGCAGAAAAAAAGTTGATGCTATAATTGGAAATATCTAGACGAGTTATGGGACAAAAATAAAACAAGTGAAAATTTGTCGATGTCGTTTTGAGTTTCTGAAAATTCTCAATCTCTGCATAAGAAGATTTGACCGAAGGTTTCTTAGAACGTGTGAAAAACAAAATATCACTCACCTCGTTCCACAAACAGCACAGCGAAACGCGGCGGCTCGATTCACAAATGTGCATGATTGACAGGCCCATCTATTAATTTCGTCGATATCCAGCCCGTCATCTCCTTCGTCAACATCAAAATCCTCTTCACTGTTTTTCCTTTTTGTCCTCTTCCGACCTGACATTTAGAATGAAGAAGAAGACAAAGCAATTGGCTCGAAGCAGTAATAATGAGAAAGATGAGCCCGCCAGAAGACTAACTCTGCAAGAAATGAAATAAATGTTGTTGTAGTTTGGAATTGAAAGAAAAAAAACGAAGAAAATGAGAAAGAACAAAAAGAAAAAAATGTTGCTTGAAAAATGTGACAAAGTTGAGCAGCAAAAAACGGCCCATACGACGGTTGAAGAAGCAACAGAAGACAAGAAAGAAAAAAAGAAAAAAAACTACGAAAGGAAAAAAAAAAGAAGAGAAAGCAAACAAAATAGGCAATAAAATAAGAGTGAGAGGGAAGGAAGGGGAGAGCTCAAATTTATTGTGGATTTTAGAATCTGTGACGGATGTGTTGCTCTTGATCTGGTTCAAAGAGAACAAAAGAATCACAAATTTTGTTCCCTTTCATTCGATATTTTTCAGACTAGTAATGAAAGCGAAAATGGGCGGGACCTTGAAATAACTGGGACAGAAAAGGAGAAAGCAATCCCATATTGATGAAAAAAACGAGAAGCCATTTGAAAGGAAGTAACTTTTCGAAAAGTAGAACAGCATGGTCAACAGCATCCCGAAAAAAAAGGCGGCGACCCTTCTGCGCAGGTCAGACTAAACGAGGACGTGAGTGGGAGGGGATTGGAAAAGTGGAGATGGTGAAAAAGAAATTGGAAGTGAAAAATGCGGTCAAAACTCATTGAAATGGGAAAGCAGCCCGAACAGTGTGAGGAAAAATATAACCGAGAGAAGGACGATGGCGATGATCGAGCGCGGGGCGAAATAACTGACGGATGGGGAGGGGCGTGGGGGGTCGGTCGGTCGCGCGTGCAGTGATGTAAACATCGCATTCCGATAGGTGTGAGACGTGCGCTATAAACCAGTGCGATGGGGCGCACTTCTGTAAGAAAGATGAACACTAATCGGACACAAAGGTCCTGTGAAGGATGAGAGGGTCCGTCCCTCTTCTCCGCAGTAAGTGGACATTTCTCCTCATCTAGTTTTTTTGCTGCGTCTCTTCGTCTCATACACACTCTCGACGGTGAGACCTTCCCTACTCGAGAGTTTACTCGGGACCATTGACCGTAGATTTGTTGCGAATGGACGTCGCAAACAAATCTGCCTTTTTTGGGAGAAAAAGAATAGGCAACAAAAAAACGATACTGAATAACTAATGTGCGTGGGGACCCTATATGTGATTCATGGATTTTTGAGAGAAAAGAGAAGAAAGATGAATAGGGTTTCGCGCTGATGAATGAAAATACAGATAAATGAAATGTAATAACAAATATATATGAGCCAAGCAAAGTCAGAGGCGGATATTTCATTGAACATCAAACAAGACGTCATAATATAAACAGTCAATTCTTGTCTCTGTCGGGAAAGTTGGAAAGTTTATGCTCGATAACCAAACCAAAACATATCGAATGCCGATTCTTCCGAAATACATAAATTAACTTGAATCGTTTCTTTTGAATTCTGTCCTTTTGGGAACAACTCGAGGAATGGATTCTGAAATTTAAAAATGCGAAATGTTAGAAAATGGTTTTTCTATTCTTAGAAGACTGAAGAAGCAATTGAATTAGTTTTTTTCTCTTTTTTTACAGAACAATTGAACGAAAAACACAATGTTATTTCACTTTTCTCCGTCTCCTTCTTGCCTGGAAGAGAAAACCAAAAAACAGCAAAAAGTGAGCCGAGTAATCCTTGTTTTGACATTGACATTCGCCATGTCTTCGTGTTTTGTGATTTGACTTGACACATTTCGCCGATGTACGACTTTCAGATGGCATGATGAAAGGTGAAAGTTTGGAGGATTGATGAAGACATGGAAATAAATAAGAACTGAGGAAAAAACGTAGGAAAAAAAGAAAGAGGATTGGCAATGAGGGAAACTTGTGATTACAATTATAAAATGGATGAATGGGGCAAAGACTGAGAGGGAGAGCGTTCGTTCGGGGTGTTCGGCTGGGGAGAGAAGACGAAAGTGAGTGGCGGGCAAGAGAAAATAAGAGAAAACGAAAAAAGAGGAAGAGGAGTAGACGAAACGAATGTAAAAGAAGATCCTCGGAACTGAACATATAGAAAATAAAACGGAGAAACAACTTGGAACAAACTTACTTCCTAGAGAGAGAAGTCATGAGAGAAACAGATTAAACTTCAAAAATAAATTTTTATTCCTCCAAAATTTCCGAAAGCAACAGACACCAATCCAAACCAAATACGACACATATTTTTGTGAATCGACCTTCCCATTGGAAAGAAATAATTTATGCGAGTTCTACACGCCTCACTAACTATGAAACATTCATGTGTTGAATTTTTTGGTTCCAGCGGAATTAAAATCTCAATGGTAAAGAAGAATGGTAAAGAGAGATAATTAAATGAAATTTAAGTAATCAAGAGAAACAATTTTTTTCAAAAAAGAAAAAAGGTTCCAAAAATTGTTACTAAGGTAACTGGAAACTTTTATAGGTTCACTTTAACCTTTTGAACACCAAAATGTAACTTCCGCTTCGGAACACAATTTTCACGCTTTATTTCTCTTATTTCAAAAACTAAAAAATTGTTGTGCTTATCGAGCTCACTTCTATTTCAGAAAACCGTAGTTTTAATTATGAAAGACGAAAATTGAAGATATACATGTACATAGAGTTGCTTCTCAACATTTGTCAGTCCTCTCTAGTGAATTGAGATGCGTCATAGAAGAGATACACGTTTAAATGCATCTGAATAGAAAGAGTGGGAAGAATGAAGTGGAACTAGTATGGACAAGTGGAGCGATAGACGGCCAAAACCATTTGTCGTCGACGTAGCGCGGTTTATTCGGATTATTTATTCAGATTTGTTTCCCAAGTTTGTGACAGTTTTTTGAAAGCCAAAAATCGATAGATGCTACTTTACCAAAATACATAAAGAACCAAGGGCAAAAAAGGGAAGAGCAGAATGAAATTTAAGATCTGAGAAAATGAGAGAAGACCGAGACCATAGGAGTGGGAGGAGTAGGGAGAGGAGCAGAATAGAAAATTAGAGATCTGATTTCAAGAATTAAAAAAAGACAAAGGATGAGTCAAGAAAAAAAAGAGAATTGGAAATAAATAGTCTATAAAAAGCAAAACAGATGAACAAATCTGGGGAGCATTTCGGGGATGAAGATCATGAGAAAACGTTTTCGGGGATCAGAAGCGATTGTCGGGAAGCTTAACCGGGTTGGCGGAGAGCACTTCCTCGCTGAATTGTGTACCACGACCACGAGCATTCAGAGCATCTGAAATGAGTTGTGTTTCAGTGAGTAGACGACGGAAGTGGGTTGGAGGGAAATTGAAATTGGTATAAAATCCTATTGCACTTAAAATTTGTTTGATATCTCAAAACAATTTTTTTGATATCTCTCAAAGGTACCGAGATAATTTAGCTTGGAACGCACGTATCTGGTCGGCTTCTATTAGAGAAAATATGTATATTTTAACTTTAACACTTAAAAATTTGGAACTTTCCGAATTTTTCGGAAATAAACAGACCAATAAAAACCTTTGAATCGTATAACATTGTGATAAACGCCCTAATTGGGTTACTGTAATTTACAAAATGTTAAGCCGGTGATAATTCAACTATTATATGGACACTTTGCTCTTTCTATTGAATAATGGTTCTAAATAAACGGATTCCTGTTATATTCATGTGCTACAGTACTTCTTCTTAGAAAATTACGAAAACCTTCAACTTTGATCTTACTTATTTCAATTACTGTGAAAGACATGAGAAAATTGTCAGCGGATGAATTGTTGATTATTATATGACAGATAATTCGAAAGTGGACACATTTTCGATATCTTTCACAAGAATTGAAATAATTAAGCTCAAAGCTAACGGTTTGGGTGGCCTTCTGTTAGGGAAAACTCGCTGTATTTAATTTTCAAGCAAACATGCATCATATTATTTTTTTTAATTGTCTTCGAAATCTATTGCATTTGCAGCACTGAGACAATTATTCAAAATTCAATTTGATTCGCGGTTTATCTTTACTCATAGACGCTCAATTTTGAATTCGATGCATCTTTGAATCCTAGTGTAACTTGATTAATTGCTCTTATTGTTCCAGTCCCCCCTTTCTCTAGAAAACTCACATTACTTCTGGCCCACATCAAGAGTCAACCATCCAAAAAAAAAATACACACCCTTCACAGAACACTCCCCTTTAATTCCTGGTTTCCTCTCTCGAGGTCTACTTTCAGAGAGACCATTCTTATTTTCCATTCTTCTTCCTTCTTTTTTCTTTTTTCTTTTACTCTACTTGGTCGATCTTCATTCTCTAAAATCTTTTTTATTAAGTTATGATCCTCACGTTTTTTTTCCAGCAGACAATCTTATTTTGTTATTATTCAACCGCCTGGTTGTGTTTTTTCTCTAGAACACTCAACTTCCTTGACACGTACACCTTGCGCAGATGTCTTTTTGTAGGCCTCTTTTCTCGTTTTTTTAAAATTTATTTAACCCCGTAAATCCAATTACCTCGACTACCACTGTACGTTCTTCTCCGTTCAATGTACTCTTTTTTAGCCTGCTTCGCTGCTACGTTGAATGGTTTTCCAACTCCAAGTTGACGAAGTCCTGAAAATTCGTATTTAGAATCTTAGATTTTTATATTAGTGTTTGATTAGGATTACTGTTAGTTTTTACGACCCAAGACATCTGGTGTCTTCTTTTCTTTAGTATTTCTAACCTTGAATGTGCCCGCTATACCCAGCTGTTGGAATGTCTTCCGTCTCATCCTTCTGCAAAAATAGCACAAAACAACAATGAGACCAATCATTTTCGTCTAACCTCGAGTGCTCCAATTCTTCTTGAAACTCGCTGACGACTTGGCGGCCATTGGTTCCAATTGCCGCCGCTCACCATTTGTCCGCCGTTCGCAATTTCCCGCCGCTCCTTGAAATATCGAGCTTGAGCTTTTTTGTTCGAAAAAAAAATAAAGAGAATGAAGAAGCGAAGCGTCAAATACGCATTCGTTTCAGTTGCCTTTCTTTCTGTGGTACCAACCTGATTCCTCTTCACTTCTCCTTTACTCCACCATCCACTTTCGATTCCATCAAACGGATTGTTTTCGATTTCTGAAAGAAAAAAAATTAAGGAAATCAAGAAGTTAGGAAGTGATTTGTAACATATGCTAGCTGGACGGACTAGAAAAAACAAGGGATCTAAAAGTTACGGAACTAATCTTCCGGCGATTTCTTGAGTTGTTGTTTACAAACATCTTACTTTGGTTTTTGGGATGTTTTTTTGTGTCACAAAACTTTTTAGTGACGATTATAACTAACAAAACTAGAATCGGTGTAATTTTTAAGTTTTCTCTAAATCTAGGGGAATTTGGAAATGTTGAAAATTTCGAGTTTTAAAATTTTTGATTTGGAATACTTCGATTTTCAATATTTTGGAATTTCAAAATTATCCGATTTTCAAAATTTCGGATTTTCGGAATATTCCGATTTTTGAAATTGCCGTGTTTCCGAATATTACAATTTTGAATACTTCAAATTTTCGTAATTATTCCAATTTTCGAAGATTTTTGATTAGATACCCACTGTGCCATCACCAAAAGTGGTGAAAAATTAACAAACTAGTTTCAAAACCGCAAAACATATTCGAGAGCCACGAAGAAACTTTTTGCGTGCGCCTTTAACATACTGTAGTCTGAAAAATTCTAATTACGAAAAAGAAATTTGAATATACAATACCGATTGGGATATTATTCCTTTAAAAACTCCGGAAATATTCAAGTAGGAATTCTGAATTCTGTTCCAAACTTCATTAATCAATTATCAATTAACTGCGTTCAGTTTTAAAAAGGACATATGTCCTCAAAAAATTGAAATTAGATGAACGTGGCCTTCTTATTCAGTAATTCTCTCACCAAATGACGTCGCAAACTATTTTAATTATTGACATCACTTTCAATTCTGCAATTTTCATTTTTATATCTGCCAAAAAATTGAATTTTTCTATGTCATTCTAAAATTCAAGCTCATTGTTCAAGAACAGTGCCTCTCATAATGTTTTGTTTTGTCGAAATCAGGTGAAAAAAGCTGTTATTAGCTAGAACTGAAATTAAATTTGAATGACGCAGATTGCTTGTTTTTCTTTCTTCTTCTCGTTTTCCTGCATTCTGTTAATATATACGGGTTTTATGTCATTGCTTCAATTCTCAGGCTCTTTTTTTGTGATAAACCTAATAACAGAAAACAATTTGTTTTCTGTTCTCCCAAGATGATGAAGCTCTACACGGAACTAGAATTCGGGGCAATAATTACAAAAGGTGCCCGTGACACTTTTCAGTTTCCGCATCAACTCACTTCTTGGCATACTCTTGCTTCTTTGTTTCAGTTGCTCCTGCTGTCCACCACCACCTCTTTGCCCATTTTCATATTCTGTTCTTCTGTCCTTAAAATGAATATAATGAATAGAAAAGCTCCATCTCATTTCTCATTACCATTCGTCCGGATGGGTCTCCAAAATTAACCGCATTCCTGGAGGAGCCATCTCCGCCGTTAGCGCCTGAAAATAAAATTTAGCACGTCATTTCGAAAACTTTGGTGTTTGCCAGAGTGTTGTTGTTGCTGGTTCTGCATACTCATTGCCATTTGAAGGTTCTGCATATCCATTTGCATTTTCATTAGCCTTTCGCGAAGTTCGTCATTCGTCATTTCCGTAAAGTTTCTCATTTGTTCATCTCCTGCACCCATTGCCATTGATCTCTGCAAAAAATCTCATTTGATTATTTTTACCCAAATATATCCTTACATTCTCAGCAGAAAAATTTTGATTCGTCGCATTTGGTGTTTGATATTGTGAGCCTTCTTAAAAAATAGAGTCAAACTTCAATTTTTAAAAAAAATTTACTACGCTCACTGGTTTCACACTAACCAACATGAGCCATATTTACAAACGGTGAAAAATTCCCCTCTTCCGAAGCCGCTCAAAAAAGGAATCAATTCACAAATATGAAACATGATACGTTTCCTTTTTTTTTAATTTTTTGGCAATGCTCATACATACTCTTATTTTCTTACCAGGTACCGAAGCATTCCTATTTGAGAATCCACTGTTTTCCCGTGAGCCGGCAACGTAGCGACTTCCGACCTGCCATTTTGCGCCAGGTATATATCCGGTGAATCCTGGAGTCATTAAGAGGTTAGTTCGTTTTTGAAGATATATTTTTTAACAAGTTTTTTGGCACTAGATTTTAGATTCTCAAAAATTGGGATTAAGTTCTCAAGAGGTTGCAAATAATTCTAATCAAATAATATTTCCAAAAAGTTATATTTAATTATATAACAGATTTTAAAGTATATTTTTGAAATTTGAAATTATTTGAGATGAGCAGTTGTTGCGCTGCTAGGAACTGAATACTGCTTAAAAATATTTCTTAAATTGAGTTTTCTCGAATTTTTAAATAGTTACGTTTAGATGATATTTAATTATGTTTCTTGTTTTGAACTTTTCAAATTTATCAACTGTTTTTTTAACAGTTCGAAACCATTATTGCTCAAAAATTATTCCACTAGTTTTGAATTTTATACTCACCTGATATTGGCTGATTTCTGTAACCGTTAGGCATCGTGAGCTGAGAAGTGTTGTTGTTTTGAATTTATCACTCTATGAAAGAAATAGAAACTGATATAGCTGAAAATATTATCATAAGTGCTTCTCTCCTCATATACAAATATAGAGGCTCTGTGAAAGTTTCAAAGAGCAAAAAAAAAGCATATGCGGTGGCGAAAGGAAAAAGAAGAAAAATATACACACGCGCGAGAGATGCGGGGCCCTCCTGGAATATTGTTTTGGACCACTTTGCCAAGCAACAGAAAGTATACTCCGAGAAAAAAAAGAAGAGAAGGGGACGCTCGCGGGCTCCACCAATTTTTGTGCCGCGCGGAGCTTTACCAGGGCAACGAATGGAAAAAAAAGAAGGATGAATAGACATAAAAGCGTCAGTCAAGTTGCAGTGGGAGCTCTTTCTTTTTGCGTTGACTATAGAAATAATTGGCATCGGACCTGACATGAACTTTTTATGCCCTCGGTCTTTAAATGTTCTTTTATGAAAAGAACCATTCTGGCAAAAAATCATCAGCAAGGAGATGTACAATATTGAAGGGGTGAAAATGATATTATCCAGTCAAAGAGAACGAACATAAGTTAAATCGGATTAACATCGTCCGACTGTCAAAATAACCTAAAACCATCGAGAAATTTAAAATATTTCCGGTTTTCAATTTTGAAAAAGGGCACACATACCGTTACAAACCTGATGAGATGATTCAGTCCGGTTACGCATGCAAATAGGAAATCAATTGTGTATACTTGTTGTATTATTGAGAACGTCATTTTGGGAAAAAATACAGTATAAAAACTTCACATTGAAAGTGCACAAGTGGGTTCTCTGTCCGTATTAGGTTATTCGAACAGGTGTCAGTATTTCGCAAGATTGCGAAAAAATGGAGTTCTAGTTTATTATTCAAATGTGACTAGCGACATACTCTCGCTATTTCTGAAACTCCGAAACTTCTCAACTTTTGAAATTTATATATTCCAAAGCATTCCTTCAATTCTTGTTAATTTCAATTTGTATCTCCGCATAGATTCACCTGAAATGTTTTTTGTAACCGTAAAACCTGTAGGGCCCTCTAAATTTGAATTTTGAGGCAGTTTATCTCAATCCCTGTAGAAGAAAAGGCTGCCAATTGATACATTGTTCATTATAATATGTCAAAAATTTTATTAGTGGACACATTTTTGATATCTCTTATAGGAACCGAGATAAGTGAGCTCAAACTTTACAGTGTGGGTGCCGTTCTATTACAGGTTTTACGGCGATTCGAATTTTTTTATGATTCAGTTTTCAATCCCAAAAACTGAGAACCATGCTATTCTCAATTTCAAAAACTGGTACCTAGCTTAAAAACTTTCAATCTTCATGTTTTTTGAAAAATTCAATTTTTAAAGTTATTCCGAATATTTCTTCAAATTTATTTTAAATTCAACGTATTAAAACTTCTATTTCCAATCTCAAAAGTCTGTGAAATTATTTCGAGGACAAATTTGACAAGTTTTGGTCTATGTATGATTCCTCGTTTACCCCTAAAACTTTTCGAACGTTTTTCTCCAATTTTTCCTGGGAAATGATCTTATCCGGCTAGCTTGGTATTTTTTCTAATTCCTTGTTAAATTTTTCCGCTTATTTCTGTCTGCCAAAACTCCCAGGAGCAGCAATCAGTGGCCACTCATTTTGTGTGTCTCTTATCTTGTTTGTTCTCATATCCGGATTCATTTGAGCAAACAGCCTTCCTCCCACCGCCAATCAAAGGTGTCAAATCAACGCTGAACATCCCCAAATAAAATTCAATTTTTCTTGCTTTTCGCCGGCAATTTTTTCCATGACATCATCCATAAAAGGTTGGGATGGATTGGCTTGGAGGAGTATAGAAAAAAACGAACAAGTCTTCTGTCCTTCTTCTTTTCTTCATTTTTATGCGCTACCTTTTTGTGTGTGTGCTCTGAGGTCATCCTTTTTTGTGGAAGGGCTCAAAAGTTCGACGTTAGGTGTTAGAGGACCCATCAAACATACATAAGAGCCGTGTTAACAAGCAGAACTTTTTATCCCACTTCCTTGTTTGTTTTTGGACTCTCTGGGGAGTTTTTGTCAGTCTCAAATCATCGTGAAATACGTTTTTCTGGTTCCAAAAATAAGCTCATTCATTAAGATTTTTATGCTTTGACCTGACCTAAAAGTACATTAGATATTCTAAGCTAGAATATGTTTTTGGCATATATGCGGAAATATGACTATTTTTGACATATTTCTCATCCTTGAGCATACATCATTTGGAGTTCACTCTTCTTATACAACTGGATGAATTTTAAATTGGCTTTACAAATTGCGTCAACATCGGGATACATGTCATACCAAGGTGACAACTTCTCTTTTTTCTGCTTATTTCCCATTTTCCAATTATTTTTCTCCATTTCAGCTGAATGATTTGAGCACTGAATAAGAAAGAAAATGTTCACAAGACAAATTCATTCTCGCCCTAGTCTCTGTACACACTAGAACATCTGTTTCATAGAATATGGGACTAGCTCTCCCATCGCTCCTCTACACTCATACAATTTTTTTCACTTACATTCTACCTGTCTTCCCACATTTTTCATTGCACAACGGACGTTAGGGCAATATTTCGAAGCGCCTCTCACTTCACCAAATATTTGTCCAAGTCCGCGCTCCCCCTTTATCACAACTTTTGTTCTTTTTTACACTTCCATCTCTGTGTTGCCAGTTGTTGCGTGTCTCCACCAGTGTTAAGTCAGTTACCTTTTTTAATTCAATTCTCTTACTCTCGTTTTAGGCAGTCTGCCGTTGAATTTATACTCTTTTAACAGTTGTTCTCTGCAGTTAGAACACGTTTGAATTTTTTCTTAGGTTCTGTTTCTTTTCGAGATCATGCCATTACGATAAAACCCCTGAAACAATTAGAATCAGATAATTGCATGGAATGTCCAGCGTTTTAAAATACACTTTGCATTTAACAAATGTGTTCTTTAGTAGTTTTACTTGACCTTGTTTGTTTCTTATGAAAAATAAAAACATTTTCAAACGATGTATTCTCATTAGAATCGTCGCAAGGTTTCAAATTAATTCTCTATTGAAATCAATACCTTTCATTCATTCATTCGTTCATGTGTTGGTTTTTCATTCATTGCTTCTAGAGGTTTCTCTATTCTCATTTCCAAAAAAATTCTATCTTCAAAACAGAAACCATGGCAATATGTCCTTCTTTCTGCCCGAAGCAAAGTATACTTTTTCCAAAACAAAACAAAAAGCTCTTTTTTCAGAATGGTGCCGCGCTGGAACAACTGAAAATTCGATGGCGTCGCGTTTCAGTACCCACAAAGCCGGTTAGTTGTTTTTTTTATATATTTGATACTTGTTTCCCATTTAGTTGATCGAACTTTGTTGTTGTTCAATATCAGGTGCTTGGTTTTTGCTTTCTTTGATACTTTTAACCGAAAAAAAAAATTGAACAAGTTATGTGGGGAAAAGGATAAGAAAACACATTATCGGAAAGCATAACTTCTGAAATTATATGCAATGGCTTTTTTACATTCTTTTGGAACACGGCTGAAGTTTTCAGCTCAAAAGTTTATATTCTCTCAGTTAATGAACCAGGTGAAAAAGTTTGGCGGGCTTTTAAAAAAGAAAATCATTTTTCTGCCTTTTAAAGTCTAGAAATTCTAGAACATTATTATGCTTATCCCAACACTTCCTATGCTAACACAAAGACATTTTCCAGGTTTATAGCAAAAAAAAATTGCAGAATCTATTTCAAAGAAGAGTTAATTTAGCTAATCAGAGAGTAGTGGGGGCAAAAAACAAAAAAAGGGAGTATTCTAAAATGCCAAATTGCATTCCGTAAAGCATTCTTTTTCTTCTTTTTTGTCCCAATCAGAACACAAATTTTGTACTTTTTAAATCCCCTCTAAAGATCCATTGTGTTACTCATTCCCTGAAGAAACTATGAATCTCAAGAACATATGGTTGGAAAATATTAATGATCCTGGTAAGTTTCAACCTCGCAAAGTGTATATAAGTTTATGTTTTCTAAGAAAAAAACATTTCAACAAACTTTCTCTAGCGTAAAACTGTGAAAGTGTGAAGAAGATGAATCGAACCGCGAGGAAAAATATTCAAAAACTAATCCGTCAAGATTGTGTGATCCGATAGGCGAAAACAAGTGAAAAACGTCTTAGCGTCAAGGTTTTTCGAATATTTTCTTTTTTCTTCACTATCAAGAAATTAAAAAGATGTACCCCAAATATTATTCACTTGGGATTTGCTCAAGATCAAGCTTTGAATTCTCGGATCCAGTCAGTAAGTGTTTAAATTTTTTAAAGATTCAAAAATTATTAAATACAGTAAGAGTTTCATTTTTGTTAGCATGAACTCATTGAAGAATATTCCATTAGTACGTAATGTTTATTCGCTAAAATTGCTTTTAATTAGTTAAGAGTAGTTTTGTGGATGCAATCAATTATCAACTATTACTCTGTTTCAAAAATCGGAGATGTGAAAGAGTTTTGGCTTTCCGCGTCTATTTTTTTGTTTTTTATGATTTCCGTGAAGTTTTTTGTTACCTTCCCATTTGAAAGAATCTAAAAATGAGAATTTTCATTTCGAAAAATTTAACTGAATACGCACGAAAATCGAGACGATAAATCGATACTTGTAAGAGACTCTTAAGGGAACCGAGTTACTTTAGTTCAATTTGATAGCTTGGAGACATGTCATATATATATATATATATATATATATATATATATATATATATATATATTATTGGTTAGAACTTCATCAGTTCTGCTTTTCTTTTTTTATTCTGAAAAAACTTCACATAATTTTCACTTACTTGCATCTAAATCAGATATGCCGTTCGAAACGATCCAAGTTCTAATACTCCAAGAAATAGCAATGGATTCAGAATCTTGACACTTTCAAATGGTTTATCCAATTTGATTAATTTTTACGAAAAATTGTCAACAATTAAAAAAAGCTATATTTATGTTTGATAGATCTCAAAATGTTCTGCTTCATCCAACAAAATCAACTGCATTTTTTGAAAATCCGAATTTCGGCATTTTCAACTAAAAATAAGTGAACTTAGTCAACTTTTGTATGGTTATGTGCGTGTTCGGTATTCGAAGCTATTCATACACCGTCTAGGAAAAACACGCCGAAAATTTTTTTGTTTTTCTTCAGAGAAATTCATTATATAATTCATCAGCAGTTCTTCTCAGCTTTTTTCGTAACACCACACGACCCTTCTTTTTGCTACTATTCCCTACCATCGTAATTACACACTTTCTCACCACTCAACTGCAGAAAGACAAACAACTCATCCAAAGATAGTAGGTCTCCGGGGTGACATTTGGTCCTCATCTCCACCATCTGTCGTCTAGATCTCCCCTCTCCCTCTTCTGCCCTACATCTCTTCTTTATCCGCGTGTCTACAACGCACAACGTGGCCCTCGTCACCAAATCGACCCAACAACGCGTTGACGCGTTTTACGGGCGGCCATCCTTTTTCTGTTTTTTTATTCATGAAATATGCCCGCGCTTTTTGAATTTCCTGCCGCTGGTTGCGCTATATAATTTTTTCTCACCTGAAAAATATTTTTATCACTGAAACTTTTCGCTGTTGTGCATTTATTATGCCCACGCGACAAAGCGAAGTTAGATAACAACTCAACACAAATTTCCCGCTCATTATCAACAAAATAATGCCTTCTTTTCCAGCAAAGCTCGTCCTCGTACCATGGTTATGGAATAAAATGGCATTTATCAAGAGGAAAACAGTCAAGTTCTCAGTGGACCTTCAGGTAAGTCTTTTTCTCTGTAATCGACGGAAAAATCAATTTTTCGTTCCAGGTATGCCACATTTCCGATGTTCCACTGGTGAACGCTACAATATTCGGAAAACTACGTTTGCTGGATGGGGGTTCCTTTGAAGAGTCGACAGAACGGGTTGAGGTAGGGTTTTTGGCATGCATTTCCAGCTGTTTCACAAGAAAAAGATGAAATGAACAATGCATTTTCAGGTGAAAAACCACAGTGCCTCGTTCAATACACGATTCGTCTTTTGTTGTCGAATTCCTTGCGATCAAAATTCTGGGACACTGGAAAAGTGTCTGTGTAGAGTATCCGTTAGAAAGGTGAGAACGAATGAAAAATCGATGAGACCACTGTGTAACAATGAAAGTCGGGCGGTAGTTCCAACGTGTAACTAACTGAAACAATTAACAATAACAAGAAAGGCTGAAAAAAAACAGAGAAAGACAGAAATTTTTATAGGAACAAAAGGGTGGAAAATCATTCTACAAACTCGGTTTCATCGATATAAACCTGTCCGAGTTTGCTGCGTCCGGCATCGAAGGAATGTCAAGACAATATCTGCTCAGTGGATACACCACTAATCAGAGACTAGATAATTCGAAAGTGTTTATCAAAATTGCAATGGCACATCAGAGTGCTGATCCTTTCTTCCGAGTGTAAGTTTTGAATTGGATATATAAATGTGATAGAGGCAAGGATGTGTTTATCGTGGCCGCGGCCGGCTGTAGACCAATAAGACCGATTTTTCGATAATAAGCTCAGCGACTGAGAAACCGATAACTAGTCGCTAAGCAATCATATCCTACCTATCCGAAAAGTACCGAAATCAAAAAACTTCGGCCATTCGTGGCACAGCCTTGGACAGAGGGGAAAGCCACTCAGTTTTGTAAAGATGTCTTAACTGCAATCGTGATCGAATCACAAACAATTTCTGATGTTTCAGACCACGACTATCAACATTTGGCCCTCGCGAAGATGGGATGATCGAGGATGGATTCCGAGCTGACGATGACACAGACTCAGAAGAAGGAACATCGTCACACCCCAAGCCGTCGGTGCAAGAAGCGCCTGGTGAGTTTTAGCATGAAAGATTCTTCGACGTTCTCAGCGACACTTTCTCAGAAGAAATTAATTTCAGAAAACTCGTCGGCAATGACATCGTCTCAAATAGAAGAGCAGATAATAGAAAGGCGGAACGCTCACCAATGCGGAAACAACCAGAATTGCCAAGTCCGTCGGTTCAGCCAAGATCGGTCAGCACACAAAATTCAGCATTCCAGGTAAGTAAGATTTTTCCGAATTAGTTCGGATAGCAGAAGCCAGAGTGAAATGTTTTTTATAAAAATCCAAAATTATATAGTAAACATATTGATCGGCATGTCGATTCCTGGCCGGAACGTGCCGGTTGATAACTCGCTTCGAAAAATTAATTTTGAGCAAACAGACATACCAGATAATAGTGATCGGGAAGCTTTAAATTTTCCAATAAAAGTCAACCAGCATTTTTATCAGTAACCGAATGTGGTTCATTTAATAACGACGCCGGGCAAAAATCGTCTTCCTTCCTAAAAATGCCTGCTTCTACCACAAAATTGCTTTTGAAGCTGGTTGATTTTTATTGAAAATTCTTTTCAAGCTCTATTGTCTGGTATGCTTTTTGCTCACAATTTCAGTTTGGAAACAAGTTATCAGCCGGCTCGTGCCCGCCCGGAATCGGCCCGTTGGCAAGTTTGTAAAAAATCCTCAATAAAACTTTTTGAATGGAAAATTCTTTGCTTATTCAGAAATTAACTTCATATGGTGATCAAAAAATGTTTCCGAAATAAAAAATATTGAGCTACAATTTCATAGACCATTCTAAAACATTTCTTAGATTCATTGAACAATGTCTTATCAATCGATGTTCCCTATTAATCAAAAAAAAAACAATTCGCAAACTTTGTTCAATAAAACAAATTCTCTCTTTTTCAGAATCGAAACTGACAACCTGGTTTCAAAAATCATCACCGAATGTCGTATATCGGAAGACGAAACCGACGCCAACAACACGGGTTTGGTGATAGAGAAATTCTTGGACCAAAACGGAAAGCCGCTCGTCACTCCACGTCAACCGACAAAACGGACCAGTTATGTCGCCGAGCATTTCAATGACATGTGAATATTCATTTTTTCTTTCTTATTTTCTACTGTATCGTTATTGTATTTGTTGGGATAGACTGCCTATTCCCAACTTTTTTGCATTCTGAAATCTCTCAAACTTCTCAAATTCTCAAAGTAGCTCAAATTTTACGGTTCTCATGTCTCAAGCTATTTTACTTTTTACAATTTGCATCTCTCAAGGGTTTTGTTTCCAACTAATTTTGTTTTAGTTGTTTCGGGTGATTTGAAAAATAAACTGCAATGAATGAATGAAACATTAATAAATTTATTTCTTTAAACACTACCAAAGGGAAAGAGTGTGGAAAACGACGGGACACAGAAATGACTTGAGTGGTAAAGTTGACTAAAAAGATAGGAAAAGAAAAAAAGTTGTAATGAGTTTTTATTCGAAAACAACCCATAAAGTCCATGAAATTTTAGGAAGGAAGAGATAGAAGATAAATAAAAGAACATATTTAAAAAGGGATAGATATGAACTTTTAAAAATTACGACAAGAAGCAGTGGAGAGAGGGAACCGAGAGGGGAGAAGAAAAAATGTTCTAGTCAAGGTAGTCGAAGTTTGTAAAGGAAAGTGTTAGAAAAGCCATATTAGAATAGTTTTATATAAATTATACAATAGAAATTTATTTGACGAGAGGTTGGAATTTGACTGTAATGCTGGTTTTTGACGTAGAAATGCTGGAGCGATTATAGCAGGTGGATTGGTGTCTACCATCTCTTCTTGTAGTCATCAACTGACACTCCTCCTGGTCCGTAGGCAATGACGAGCAAGAGTCCTCCAATGACAGACATGGTTTGGAAGAAATCGTACTTCATGAAGTCTCTGTAGAAGCGGTCGGACGGGATAGACCACCTGCAATAGATTATGTTTCGTTGGAGGAGCTTTGGACAAAAATTTAATTAACTTACCAAGCGTTAAGCCAGAGGTTGAGTCCGAAGAGCCAAATGACGAGAACCATAGCGGAGAGCTTAGTTTTGTATCCAATGGAGACGAGGGTAATGAGAGCAAATCCAACGACGATTTCCAAAACTTGCATGAAAGTCATCTCGAAGTGCATGAGCGACATAAACATGAAGATAAGAAGGACACGTCCAGCAAGAAGCATGTATGACTTTGGCTTGTTGGAATCTCCCATGGTTGGTACACCGGCAAACAGCGAAGCTTTCTCTTCTTGGGTCTCAGCGAGAAGAAGCAAGAGTCCTCCACCGACAGCGATGTTTCTAGAACATAATTCATTATTTGAGAGAATTAGCAGAAGAATCGAGACTAGACCAAGTCATACACAATCATAGATGGTACATGTTCTTCAAAAACTAACCTGGCCAAGAATTTCAAGTCCCACAGAATATGATAGGCGATGGTTTGAAGGATAACAATACTGGCGAGAATTCCACAAGCGACCAGAACCTTCTTACGGAGCATGATCATGAGCACGGGGATGAATTGTCCGAAGAAGTTGTAGATGACGAACAACGTGGCAATGAACCATCCACATGACCAAGACTCTTGCATGAATTGCTTCTGGTCGTCCCATTGGAAATACATACGGATTCCATCTTCCAAGAATGTGGAGACAAGGCAGAGACGAGCGACGTGCGGCAAGTAGGTTCTCGTTTTGCGGAAGAACTGAAATGAGACATATTTATGAGTTTTTAAGTTTCAAAATCAAAACTCACGTCTTCAGCGGCGTCCTCGGCCTTTGCCAACATTTCGTTTTGACCTCCTGGTGCTCGGAACTGGTTCATTTTCCCGTGGCAAGCTGAAAAATTGTGTTTTATGTGTGATGTGACATAGAAGAGGATAGAAAAAAGGCAGAGTGATAACGGGTTGATAAAATAAAATACATGACGAGTGATAGAAAGAAAAGAATAAGTGGCGAAGAATAATCAAGAAGACTATTGAGACAGCTTCTCGATTGAAAGCTAAACGATGGAATGGCTTGCAAATGTGAACACGTGGCGTGTGCACTTTACAAAGGATGCATTCTGCTACTGTCTGCGTCTCTTTTGGACCGTCGACAGAGGTGTAAGACAGAGGTCAACCGATCAATATGTCCTCTTTTCTCCTCGCTCGCTCTCTTAGAAACACGGATACGTATACACACGCACTCACAAACACATATACACAACTGTTTTGATTGGAATTTGGCGGAGCGAATATATGTCTGGAGGAAATGAGAAAGAGGGAGAGGAAGAGAGAGTGAGGAGATAAGATTAAGATGAATGTAAGGAGGAGATATTTCATAGAATGAGAGATAAGATAAAGAGAATATGCACTAACTGGTATACACATTCATTAGACTAATGCGTCGTTTTGAGTAGCATGACCAGAAAAAATGCTATCGAATATCGAAATTTAGAAAAGAGGAAAGAAGCAAAGTGTACACAAATATGTATGCGTTTTCTAGAGAGCCTTCCTTTTTTGTTGGCTTCCTCTTTTTTCAGCCCACGCAAATTTCCCATCATTCGGGTTTTTTGTTTCTTTTTCTGAATCGCAAATTAGAGAAAAGGAGCTCACTAACACAATCAACGTGAGGTTGATGAAAAAAGGAAGGAAGTAGAGAAAAGAGGGTAGAATTTGGATATAAAAAAAGAAACAAACAAGGCACCGCCTGAATTTCGAGACTACAAAAACATCACTCTTTTTCGAATCATTTTGTCCTTCTGTCTCTCTTGACTCTCTGTTTCTCCAGGTAGGAGGAAAAACCGTCAAAGCTGCACAATGTCAATACAAAGCGGTCACGACTTTTTGTTTATTAAACTAGCCAACACATGGACAAGGGAGGATTGACGGCGAATATTTGAACAAACCCAAGATTTTGGAAATTTTTTCGAATATTTATAAACGGCTGAATCTCATTAAATTCGTCGAAAAGCCTCTCGTGGGCGGAAGTGTCGTTGTGATGATGCCAAACGCGAGAGTAAATCAGCTAATGTGTGTATGTGTGTGCGTCATCATGATGTAGTTTTTTTGTGTACTACATTGAAACAGAACTATTGGAGACACCAGTAATCTAACGATCGCATCTCTACAATAACAGAACAACCCAAAAAATGGCTTCCTAAACTTCTAAATAGGGGAAAAAAGGGAAACGCTAACCGGTTCTAATAGGTTCAAAGTAAAGGTCTCGATCCATAATCATAAGTGAAGCGCCAAGTGACTCTTCTTCCGCTCCCTTCCAAAAACGGGTTTGTTTCGGAGAAACGAAAACGAAAACATAAACGACTAGGAGACTGAACCGACATTGGGGTGAAAGGCAAGATGAGGAGTGTGGGGCACAAAACAGGAGAAAAAGAGGCCATCGCAGCCGCACGCGAGCTGATGTGGTAGCTGTGAGGTTGGAATCCAGCAAAAAAACGCAGTGGAATTGACACTATCAAAAAACGTCAAAAAAGCAGCATACATGGCACCACCTACCAAACAAAACAGGCGTGCGACTGATTCCCGACTAGAGAAACCGCTCTGGAAACGAGGAAAACAAGGAAAACCCACCAATGAACCGATAAAAAGCACAAGTAGAAATGACAACATTGTTATCGAAAACAATAAGAAGTGAAAAAAATCGGATAACCTCATCATTGGTTTTCTAGCAAGAGAGCTACACAACTGGTTCCACGTTGATCGGTTGTGTGTTGCACAACGCGCACCAATCACCGATCGTTTGCGCGTTTTGCGTGCAAAGGAGGGTGGGGGCCAAGTGGGGCGCATTGTTCGCAACGTGTGTTTTTGGCATTGATTTTCCAGCGTAATGACTGAAGTATTCTAATGAATTTAGTGTAATGTGCGAGGAGAAATTGCTGGAATCAAGGTATTCTCTTTAGTAAGTCTTTCTTTCAGTTTTCAAGTGTTGTATTATTTTTTCATGCCGTAAAGGCAAGTGAAACTGTAAAATTGCGCAAACTTACCGTTTAAAACAAAACTAACAATACCTTTATGTTCCATTTTTCATTTAAAAATCTGCTGAAAAATCACAGTCATTTTTTCGTAACCTCGTTTTCGCCGCCTGAAAACCGATTTTTTTATAATTATAAAATCTCGACGAGAAAAAAAAAACAGAAAAATACTAATTTTCCCCCGAGCTCCGTCTAGCACGGATACATTTCCACTTGAAATGCGTCTATCCTATTTTCCTCATTTCTCTTGCTCTAGTTTCATAAGGAGCGGGTGGAGAATCTTTTTTTTTGATGTTTTCTCCACTCAGAAAATTACCAGTAATTTTTTTAAAAACCTTAAGTAATAATTTGCAAAAAAATCAAAGCTCTGTGACGATCGTCTTTTCAATTGACCGAAAAATTTTGAACCTGGATCATTCGTGAGCTGTCAGACAAAAATGCGTCAGTGAAGAAAAGCGTGTCTAGACAGTTTCTAGGCTACCAAAAATTGTTTCTAGGTTACTGAAGATGCTCACCTAGCCAATCTCCATTTGTCACTCCTCGACGACTACTATACTGCTCTGCTACTGCACTTCTGCCAGCGACTCCACCTCTTCTTCCTTTCTTCATTCCCCATCTTGCTCACCCTTTTCCTTCCTCTTCATCAGATCCACCCCGTTTCTTTCCTGGACTTTTTCTTTTATTGACGCCTTTCTTCTCACTATTCTATTTTTTTTTTTCTTCTTCCCCGCTACTCTTTCCGTATTCTCTTAACTTCAACATGCCGTTTGGCCGGTATTGCCTTATAGGTTGGCTTTGGTAGCCAATTTAAAGCTTTCAGAATGGCATTCGCCCGCGCTCTTGGTGTGATTCAATCTGTCGGTCGAGGTACGGGCATCACTGGTGAGCAGAGTGAACTCTACGATCGTGGCCAAACATTCAGTATCAACGGTAACAGTTATCGAGTGGAAAATGTAATTGCCAAAGGTAACTTGGAAAACATTAAACAATAAATTTTTAATTTTCCTTTCAGGAGGATTTGGAACTGTATTCTTGGCGTCCAACAACAAAGGAAAGCAAGTAGCAGTTAAAATTATGCTCAGTCATGATGCAGCGGCAACCAAGGATATTGATAATGAAATTGAAATGATGAAGAAGCTACAACATGAAAACATCATTCAACTATTCGACGCGTCCAGTGAAGCTAGAAACTCCAATAAATCCGTGAAAGAGTACAAAATTTCAATGGAATACTGTAGATGTGAGTTTCCCAGAGTTTCCCAGCTGTTCAGCAATTCTAACCTCACTCATTTTCCAGTCTCAATAGCCGATGTCCTTTTGAAGTACAAAGAGGTAGCCGTCGACTTTGTCGTACGCATAATTTACTTTACGACACGAGCATTGGTCTACTTGCACTCTAATGGAGTCATCCATCGGGATATAAAGGCTGAGAATCTGCTCATCAACGGAAATGGTTAGCTTTCTTCCATTTCCGATTCAATTAGTCATTGATCCTTTTTTTAGGAAAGCTCAAATTGTGTGATTTTGGAAGTGCAACAACGAAGTCCATCGAGATGGCACCCCTTTCGAATTCGCAGAGATTAGCTATTCAAGAAGAGGTAACATTGAAGAAAAAAGAAAGAGACAATAGTGATGGATGAAATTTCAGATGTTCAAGTACACAACACCCATTACCAGATCTCCGGAAGTGTGTGACGTGTATTCAAACTGGCCGATTGGAAAGCAACAAGACAATTGGGCCATGGGATGTTTGATATATTTTGTATGTTTTGGAGAGCATCCATTTGACGGATCAGCCCTTGCAATTATCAATGGAAAATACAAGAAGCCACCTCCAGTTCAACAAAATCAATTGTCAGCGTTCGCCGAATTGATCAGTGAGTTTTTGATAATACAATAATGAGATCTTGCTCACAAAGGACGAGGATCCGCATCTTGTTGATTTGGATTTTGATGAAAAATTTAAAGTATGTTAAAACTAGTCTATCTAAAGAGTTTTTTTCTCAGTTCAGAAGAACCTTGTTTCATTCTTTTTATTAGAATTGCAATTCAAACAACGAACGGTTTTTTCTTTCGCTACACCAGCAAAAGAAAGCAACACTTTTTATTGCAAGTTCTACACAGCGCAAAACATATAAAACTTTTATTACTATCTTGGTATCAGTTTTACAGTAGTCGTTCATTGGATTTTGTTTTGGGGATAGTTGTAGATTAATATTGGAGCATAATAAGAAATTATAGCACCGTTAAATCACTGATTAAAGTTATGAACATGAGAAACACAGTACATTCAATTTTGTCAATTTTATATTAAACTTTTCCAGCAAAATGCCTCATTCCAAATCCAGATGAGCGAATCACCGCAGAGAAAATTGAGGAATATATGAAAAATGCAATGCAGAAAAACCCCAAGCTAGCAGCAAAAACTGATTTCTCGGATATCCTAGATATGATGAATGTGCAATCAGTCCAATCAGAGCAGTCAATCGAGTCTCAAGCCTCAAAGGGATTCTTCACTATGCAGGACAAACTCTTTTCCAACTTGACCTCCCTCAAAAACAGTGTCGTGCAGCAAACAACAAAGATGGGATGGGGTGTAGAGTCAACACCGCCACCAGTTCGCGCTGGCCATCCATCGACGTCTCCAAAGATGGTACCGAAATCTCAAAGGCAGCAGCAACAACAGCAAAGTAAGTGGAAAAACTTTAAAAAACAAATTATTGTCGTTATTTTCTAGGAGAACAACCAAGACCCTCTCCAGCAGTTACAACTCCACGAGCACCAGCAGTGCAATCCCACGCGCCTCCATCTTCCACTTTTGAAGCTGATTGGCCTACGGACAACGGATCATCGTCTGCTGGAAATGAGTGGGGTGATTTCAACTCAGCACCTGTAGCATCTTCTCCTCCAGTTTCAAACAAAAAATACTTATTTGACCCATTTGGAGAACAAGCATCTCACAATTTATCAGCGAAGCATAGTGATGATTTGTTGTCTTTGCAAAATTGGCCAGGAGCAAGTAAGTTTTTAGTTTGGAAGCGAAAACTTAACAACAACAACACAACAAATCACCTAAAATTCAATTTTTGGAGGGTTACTGGAAAGCTGAAAATATAATTTTCGTGGTACGTAGATTTCAAAAATGATGGGATACCCAACAATTGGGGGGGGGGGGGTGTTTTAAATTCAAAATCAAATTGAATTCACACATTATCGATAATTTTCCTAGTTTTGGCTAGACTGCAGAATTAAAGCAGGTCCTACTCATCGGGCGCCTTGTATAATTCAGAGATTTTAGGAGTCTACTGATTAATGTATTTCAAGTTCCCTTCAATTTCAGCGGAACACAAAACTGAAGTCCGCTCCCAATCTTCACGAGACCTATTCGATTTTGACGATTTGATGCACAGGCACACCACACCTTCAACAACATCATCTCAATCTGGTAAGATTCTAGTATATTACAACCTTACACAAATGAATCACTACATAGATAACAAAACAGACCAAAGATATATCCCATCTCATTTCAGTTTTACAACCAACACGTCAAATGGAGAATAAGAACTTGACCAACGTGGATTCATCAAAAAATGGAATTAACTCGTCATCGTCATCTGCGAGTCTAGATGATATGGTCAGCGATATGTTGAAGATGTCCACCAAGAAATAAATCCAATAGAAATACTGTAGCAGTGTAAGAATAGTGAACAACGAGTTCAAAATGTTTATTTTTCTCAACTTTGTCGCCTGTGAATACCTTTCTTTGGGAATGTGTATATCGTTTATTTTTATTGAACACCTATAATTTCACTTTTCTAGATTCACTGGATTTCTTTTCAAAAATTGTCAACGAGTACCTAGATTTTACTTTTTCCATTCTCACTTACAACTGTTGTTTCTGAGATATCAACTTTCCTATTTCCCAGTTGTTTTTTCAATTCATTCCACATTTTGTCTCTCGCTGAAAATGAAGATTCCTGTCTGGTGAAAATATTTTCCATTATGCTTCTTTGATAATCTAGCCGACATGGGAAGGAAACTAATAAATCTCTCAACAAACACATCATTCGGAACGCAATGACCTACTTCAATTGTCGATATCTCCAGAATACAAGAATCGATTCCGCATAGAAAATTATGTTCAAACAACTTGTCGTCTTCGTATTCATCCTCAATTTTTTAGCTAAAGTCGATTCTGTTTATAAATCGAAGCAAAAACCAAATTTGTTGTCGAAAACCGTGGAGAATAGTATTACTTGCGATTTCTCAATTCACAAGAAAGGACCTCATGGACAAGTGGTGTCAGGTAATGTACAGTACTGCTCAATAAGATACACAAAACCGTATTTTTCAGTTGATTTTTTTGCCATTTTGGCCATTTTCAGGAGTCTGTAGCTTAGCTGTCAAGTTTCCAATCATTTTAAAAACACTAGACAATGTGAAATAAGCCCTTAAACAGACTAAAAACTTGCCTTCAACGAATTTTTCGAAAAATCCTACTTTTTTCAGATATTTGAACGTTCTTCAGAAAATGGCAAATATCCGAAAAACTAGGATTTTTCGAAAAATTCTGCGAAATCAAAGTTTTTCATCTTTTTTGTCTGTTTTACATTTTCCACAGCTTTCAAAGTGAGTGGAAGCTTGACAGCCGAGCTCCAAATTATTGAAAATGGTCAAAATAGCCAAAAATCAACTGAAAAACACGATTCTGTATATCTTATGAACCGGTACTGTATAAACTGAGACTGGTAAGAATTTGTTTAGGAGCATCATTGGATGATGAGATTTACTACAAGATAAAATGCAAACCAATTTCCGGAAATTGTCTTCAAGTGGTGAATTGCACATTGAGCTCCGATGAGCCTGGATTCCAGCCATACCCTATTATTGATGACAATGGATGTAGTTTGGAAGAATCGTTGTTCAAGAATGTTGAGGTGACATTTTTTAGAAGAACAACCTTGAACTTTGACCCATTTCAGTACCCGAACCACTTCGAGGCGGGAATCTTCAATCCATTCCCAATTCGGTTCCGTGCGTCGTCGGCGGCCGTCGTCTTGTTCTGTGTAACAACTGTGGTTCCAATCGAACATGGAAAGTGTACTCGCAGACAGTGTCAATGAAGTTTCTTCATTTCTAATCATTGATTTGTCTTTTTTTCTATTTGGTAACTGTCAGTTTTTAATTCTCTGAAATATTTATTGGGAAAAGTGTAAAGTTTTGCTTCTGAATTCTATTCTGTTATCGCGATTTTAAATTTATCCTACTGTAAACATTTTTCATTTGTTGTCAAACTTTATTTATTTGCAAACCGCTTATGCAAATTTGAAATCGCACAAAAAACCTGTAACCAGCTGTTGTACTTTCACGTATCGCAATTTCACTTTTACAGCCAATTCTTGATTTTTTTTTTTCCAATTGACTAGTCAGTTTTCAATTTCCCCTCGAGAGAAAGCGCCCTTGAACTTTTCTCCAATCTCTCCCGTTGTCCCAAAAAAAAAACGTGACACCAATTTATCCAAACGTGATGCGCTATCCGCCGTATCTATCCGTAAATTACATCATTGGATTAATAGGGGGCAATCGTGTCCTACTATAACCGGAGTAATTCGGGCGATCGATCAACCAGCGCATGCAAAATTTAGAGGATTTCCCATGCGCTTGTCTAAAGTAGGAAAGCGTGGTTACGAAGGATGCGCAGAGAACAAATCTCGTCATTGACCGGTTTTAGGAAAAAGTTTTCACCCACACAACAGCCAGGCCAGGACGTTCACCTCTCTAATATTGGTTATTTCTAGAAGCGTCGAAACTATTCTTTATCGCACCCTCATTTTTGTGTAAGTTCACTAAAACATGTGTCATCCGCCATCATTTTATCAAATGATCCAGTTTGCTTCTTCTATGACCCAACAAAGACTATATCTCCCTCTACTCACCGTTGTTTTATCTTTTTTCCGTTTATCGGTCAGCGTGATCTTTTCCTTAACCTCGTTATCGTTATCTTTCCCCGAATTAGGTGTTCTATTTTTTTTATGGATCATAGTTCTAATTATTTTTTGATTGATTTCAGATGAGGATTCTACTAGTTTTACTGTTTTTCGCTTCCGTTGTAGCATCAGATAGGCGGAAGCGACAAAGTGAGTCATTTGAGAGAAAACCCATTAAACGTGTAATATTTACAGTTTCTATTGATGATATCATATCAGGAGCTTTAAGTTTAGTGCGACCAATTTTTGACACATCGAAACCTATTCAAAATGAGGGAATGCTAAGAAAACCGGTAAGTGATTCTCGCCCTTGTGCTATGAGGTTTAATGGTTCTCAATTTTTCAGGATGCACCAACTCAAGATGATATGAGGGATTCTTCAATTTTAGGTTCACATTCTAGAACAGCTCTCGACGATGTTCCATTATGTAAAGGAAACAGCAAGTGAGTTGCAGCTCAAAATATAGCTCCTACTCTCTTATATTCCAGTATTTGCCGCTTCATATCATGCTCAGCAGAGAATTTCAAAAAAGATCCGACCTTTGGAAACATTCAGTTAGCTGCTCAAATTCTTGGAGATGCTAAACTTCGAAAAACTATCAGTAGCAACACCGACGCAGTTCATGCGGTTTGTAAGGAGCAAGGAATGGATGAGGCGCAATGTAAACTATTTTCAAAAGGGTTCCAACTTATTGATAAGTGAGCTAATATAAATCTACAAAGATGTTGCCAAAACAATTATTTTAGATTCATGACATCTATTGAGAAACCAACGGATACTAAAGGGGGAGCTCCACCATCTACAGAGCCACCAACTACTGTGATTCCTGATTTTGATGAACCATCAAACGACGAACCACAGAAACCTATGATGGATGATCCTACCAAGCCGCAAGATGATGATAATATGGTAACTAGATCACGAGAAATCAGAATTTTAACATCGCTCGATTCAGAAACAATGGGCTGATTACGACAGCCGTGCTGCAGCTCCAACCATCACTATGCAAACAGCACACGGCTCAAAAACTTGGAGCAGTAATCCAGAATCAAGTTTTTTTAATTAATCAAAATTCATTTAATTTACAAGTTTTTAATTCAGAATCACTCCAGCCACTTGAAATTCGAAATGATTTGATTTCAAGTTGGACACCGATGCCATTCTTCGCACCACCTACCATACCACCAGCTCCGCCACTCGCTTTCAAATCAGTTCCTTCATTGATTTTGCAGCCGATTCAAGTGCCGCAGTTGGAGAATGGAATATTCTTTTCCACTGACAAATTCAATTTTATGAAGGTGCAAGAATCCTGTCGTAATATAATAAGAAAATAATTTACAGGAGCTTAACTCCATTAAGCGATTCCGCAGATCACCAGATTACTACGATCAAGTGGATGAGACAAAGTCAAAGCCAAAGGCACCAGCGAAAAAGTCAGCCGGAGATAATAGTGATGACTATTACGGAAGTTTCGATAGCGAAAATGAAGAAAAAGAAGAGGAAGTGTCCACCGGACTGAAGCAATGCGTTCATTTGTTAGGACTAGGTGTTTAAATTGTAATATATTTTCTATTTGACAGTTTATTTCTGTTTTTTCAACTCTAGTTTTCACGGGTGTAATAAATCAATGATTTTTGACAAACAGTGAAACCAATTGTATTGCCGTAAAAGATGTATTAGAAGGGCCAGTATTAAATGTTGTTATAAGTAACCTCCGAAGGACTGTTCTATCACAGGATCCCTTCAATAAGAGCGGCCCTTCCTTTTTTTCAGTCATTTTTTTCCGATTTTCCATCGGAAAATTCGTTGAATTCTTGTTCAAAACTTAAGGAAATTTTCAGCAAAAATATCTCTAAACACACGCAAATTCTTAATCCAAAAAAGTAAAAAAAATTTTTGAAAATTGAATTTTTCGGAATATTTTCCACTGAAAACGCACAGAAATTTTTAATTTCACACAGCACATTTTAAAATGGACTTTTTCTATTACAGAGCGGTTTCAATGGTACTATTAGTACAAAAATTCGGTTCTGCAAGACTTCGAGTTGTTTGACAAGGATCCGATTCGTTTGCGTCTCTCAGGAGGATACTGTTAATCATTTTTGGTCGAACGGTGTGTTCACGGTCTTCCAAGCTTTCGTCGTCATTATGAAAACGTTCAAACCAGCGTCAGAATCAATTCTTTTATAGAGAATCATGTTCGAATACTTTTGAGAGAAAAAGAAGAGCTTGCGCGGCATTTTTGACTAACCTAATTTTGTACCTACCAGCGCATTTTTTGGAACGACGTTTTCTAAACGAAATTCCCAATTGAAAAAACATAATCGCAAATTAAAATTATATATCAAACGATGCACGAAGAAACGCTCTTTTGAATAAAAAAAAAGAAGGAGCAAAAATGTTTCCTGGATAGAGAAATACGTTCCGACAAACGCGCCACTCATTATTTTTTAGCCAACCTAATATTTTACAATTAGGCCCCTCGACAATTCAAAAAATAACCACCTGGTTTGTAAAGACCCCTAACATGTTGTAGTTTGATTCTTCCTCCTTTCTCCATGAAACTTATCCCTGCCCGCCAGCAATTTTCCTGAGCCCCCGCACCGAGTCCAACGGTCGCAGACAATTTTGTACACACGCACACGTGTGGCATATGAAGCGTAAAAAAGTAACAGTAGACTAGGAAGTGCGGTTGAGAACAATCAACGTGAGCGGCATTCAGAGAAGCATCCTGAAAGTGCAGACGTTGCTACGATTCGTCCTCTTCTTCTTCCCAAGATGCACACTATTAAGAAGAAAAGAAAAGGTATGTATAGGTGGGTTGCTCATAAGAAGTGTACCAATTTGGGGATTCCGGTGGAGGGGTACCAATTCGTGCCAACCCAACGGGAAAAATAATAGAACGATGATGGGCTGTACGAATGAAAAAAGGAAAAGGAGACGGAAAGGCGGAATGTATACTTTTGAGATGATGGATATTATGGGAAAGAGTATAAAAATTGCTTGCAATCATATATAGCATTCTCTATCCCCTACCAGTCTCACATTCGACTACCTTCTCAAACGATTGTACATTTCCTTCCGTCGCGCCGAAAAAAAGGTGTATCTGTCGGCGATACAAGTAATTGAGCTTCCTATTCTTATCCCTTTCTTCGGTCCCACCCATCACTCCGCCCGCTTGTCTTACTCTTCTTGACAACAATCCTTTGAGTATATCTGTCTGGTTTTTTTTATTTTCACCTTACTGTTCACCTAGAATTCTGTGTTCCAATTCATTTTTTCAATTTTTAGGTACATTGTCAAAGTCTACAAGTAAACTGCAGCTGAAAACCATGGAAGACGAAGTGAGTTTTCTTTCTTTTTGAAATTTTCTAATGATCCAAGAAAATTGTTTCCAGCTCGACTCCGATCTGTACGATCGCGTGAGCTATCTAAATTTGATGGATAAAATCGACACTAAGAAAAAGGGGAACAAAGTTGGGAAGTTCCGCGACGAGTGAGTCCTATAGCCACGTTGGTAAAAGTTATTTCAGAGAAACAAGCACATAAGTGACTTCCGGAAGTCATTCATTTTGTTTGGCTAATAGTCTTCCAAGCATTTGTCATATTTTTTCTTGGTTTGGATTTTTCGTTACTTTCTTGGTTTTATGGTGTTGTAATTGTTGAAAATGTAAACTTTTCAGAATTTAGCTCCTTGGTTTCATTTTGTGTTCAAAATTATGTCAATCAGTTTTTCTTTCGATCAGGTCGCAAAGAACTTGAGCTATATTTTTTAATCATGAGCTAGGTATAGTAAAATCGATATCGAATCTTTGAACTCTTAGAAAAAGTCCCAATCTTTCCATCTTGAGTCGAAAAAGTTACTAAAGTTACTCCTCCCACTTTCGTAATATCCAAAGATATTTATAGGAACCAAAAAATATATCTCTTGGTTTGGGAGGAAAAGACAATGAAAGCACTTCAGGTAGACGAATAGAGAGAGAGAGAGAGAGCACCTCTGAGTTTTAGTGAGCCACCAAAAATCCAGGAAGCCTTTAACGCATTGCTCCCAACATAAAAAGGCCCTCTGAACGAGGGAGAGGGGCACCACACAAAAAAGTCGAAGATAGCTTTCTTTCTATTTAAGAGCATTTTTGCTCCACCAAACCTTCACTCAACCATAGGATTATTGGCTGCTCCAAAAAGTGAGGTGTAAGCGTCTTTGTGTGGGCCCACCCGCCATCAACTCTCAGTTTTTTTTTTCTTTCGCCCCGCTGCCCCGAACTGTTTATTAGTTTGAGGTCGATTTCACTTGCACTTGGAACTTATTCATACTCAAACGTTCATCTTCCTTATACTCATCTTTCTGATTATTCCTACTATGCAACGCTCAAAGTCACGACCGGTATCTAGAGTATCAAAGAAATCATACATGTATTCGAGTTCTGACGAGGATAATCATTATAACCCACTTGGTATGTCTGATTTTGCAGTTTTTTCTGCGCCACCCATTCTGGAAAGAAATTCGAAAATATAATTAAAACGGATGTTGTCCAACTTCTGGAAATTGGAAAACATTTTTTGAAAATTCTATGAAAAATACCTCGACCCGTATTCTTATTTGCATTTTTCCCTTGACTTCTAGATAAAAATGCTGAAGTCACAACCAATTTTCTATGAGGAGCAATTGTTGAATATCATAAAGAATGGGGGCCAAAGGACGAGCACAATGGGACATTTTTTCGTCCCGGTGCGCGGGGGAACAATTATTGTTTGCTAGTGGGGCACCTCAGAGTCGCTCCTTTTTTCTTGTTTTGGACCCAGTCACCAGGCGATTTGTAAACATCCAAAATCTCAGCCCGCTTTTTGTGCTTCAGTTCCCGTTTTGGCACCCCATTCATTCTTGCCCAAAAACTCCTTCCTCGTCTGTTAATATTGCGACGAATTCTAGAACATCAATTCCATCAAGCTCCATCATCATCGAGTAGTGGGTTCTTGCCACCACTGAATTCTAAAGCCGTATCATGGATTGATATGGATGATTACACTATTCTACCAAGTCCCGACGAAGCACCATTTGATCATAGCGACGACGAATATTTCACTGGGCGACGGAGACGGTCAAGGAAGACAGCGCCAAGGACAGGCAGATCAGTCACAGGCTCTGAATCCATGAATCAGATTGCAGATTTTGATTTCAGGTTTTAGATTGTTTTGAGGATTTGTTCTTTTTGTGGGGATATTTTATATCGTGCTCATTAGTTGTTACTATGTTGAGTTAATTGGTGGTACACTATTTCAGTAGCTGTTTTAATTATTTAATTGCAGTAACCTGAGATGTAGTCGTGAATCTCAATTTAGATAATAGTATTTAGAGTGAATCTACCGTGCTTCCTCTGATAGAAGCTCTTCCGAACTGTCACCTTTGAGATCAATTATTTCGATTTCTGTGAAAGATATTAAAACTTCGTGAACTGATAGAATATTGGTGATTTGATAAACAATTTGAAATATTAGTGGTTTTCACAGAATCGAAATAAACGAGCTCAAAGTGAACAGGTTCGGGTTGGCTTCTATTCGAGGAAATAGGTACTTTTTCGAAAACATACCGACCTTTTCGAATCTGAGTTTTTTTAATTCTGAGATCCAAATTTTGAGTTTCTCAGGTTTGAAATTTCAGATTAAAATGTATTTCTGAAATTTACCAGAGTATTTACTGTGCTGTATTTTGGGTTTTCAGTTCTGACGCGCCATCTCCAAGATTGGACGCATCGGATTCGATGGGAGCTCCACCTGATCCGGATATCAAGGTACAGTCTCTCCGCCCCTGCTTTTCATATACTCATCCGTTTTAGCGCTACTGGGATAGCAGCTTGGACATCACTGATCTCAGTGGTCACGATTTCACGATCTTCAAGCAACTCCAAGGAATGTTGGGAATCGAGAACATCTCATTCGAGACTCTTTCTCGTTTCAATGTCCGTGTTCATACGGACACCTACGGACAACCGGCGATTTTGTTCCCACGCTACCGTGGAATGACATCTCGTCTTCGTATTCCCATGGGATTAAAGTTAATCCGTAAGGTTGGAGATCGGATGGAGAAGGAAAATTATCCATTGCCTGATGAAACTTCGTAAGAACCAAACCAGAAAGATATAATTCCAGGTGATGGATTCATTTCAGTGTTCGTCAAAAGTTCAGTGGCGTCTTTGGACTCCATATGGCAACTTTGTCCGATCGTAGTGTTGTGATCACTACCAACGAGCGTGATGCCCTGGCTATCTACGAGGCCACCAAAGCGCTAGTATTTGCTCTGCCCCATGGGGAGATCATGGACCCACTAGTCCTACCTTACTTGGAGGAGTTTGACAAGATCTACTTGTGGTTCCCAATTCAACATGTAAGCTATGCCAAGGACTGGGGAAGTGCGTTGAACACTCTCAAGTGCCTTCTTGTCAAGTGAGTGACTATGGTGAGGAGCAAGTCAGGTCCTAAATTTTGAACTTTAGAAACGAGGAGCGCCCCATCGAGTTGGTCCGGAACGGAGACCATCGTCTTATCCGCAACTCACTCTCTAACTCGGTACACCCTATTTGTTAGTTATTTCTTTTCTACTAATTTTTTTAGGTTGTTCGTATGCGTGAACGTGGTTTCCGCTCAATGACAGATTTGGACATGCGTGAGGGAATCCGTTCCGATCTTCTGAACTCGACAAACCGAATCGTTGGATTCGGTCAAGTAAGTCATTCTGGAATATAAAAATCAACCAGGTTATTTTTCCAGTGGAAACGTTTCGGAGTGCTGAACAAGTACCTCGGAGGTCTTCGCCCTGGAGAGATGACCGTTTTGACTGGAGGAACTGGAAATGGAAAGACAACTTTCTTGTGCGAATACTCACTCGATCTCTTCACTCAAGGGGTACTGTAGTTTTCGGAACAATTCATTCAGAATACGGTAGCTTATAGGTTCGCACACTTTTCTGCAGTTTCGAAATGCCGGAGAAAAAGATTCTCCACTGGATGTTAGTCCAGTATGCCGGGTAAGTGTGGTACAGTGTGTTGTCCACTTTTTTCGGCTTGCAACTTTCTTACTAACATTTCTCGTGTCTGCAGTCCATCACATCTTCGAAGCCTCGCGCGCACTAACTCGTATAAAAATGGCATAAAGTAAGAATCATAGAATGTAGAAGAAGGAATTCCTTGATTAGTTTGAACTCTGAAAACTTACCAAGGGATTTCCCTAATCTAGCAGATAAATACTTGTTTCTGTTATTAATTTTTGTGTTTACAGTAGAATAATATTCCCCACTTTTCAGTTGTACCGTCTAATGGTAGCCTAGCTAAGTAGAAACATGCTTTTCGTGGTGCGCGAGGCAGTTGTCGATCCTATTGAACGCGTGTTTTGCACGGTAGTTTTCTCTAAAAAGGGAAACGGACATGGGTATGGATGAGTGAATGGAGTGTCTAGCATGCGTCTTTTCTTCTTCTGATTGCCTTGCTCAGACTTCCGGAGAACATTCGATTTCTCATATAAAAACTGCCTCCAGACTTCCTCTTCATCGTGTCGAGTACAGCAATTCTATCAACTCGTGGCTTGATAGATTCGAGCGTTCCAGCTCTGCATTGACAATGCTAGACTCTGAGGAGTTTATGGAAAAGTCGATTAATGAAATCGCAAGGGTACATAGTTTTTTGAACAGAAACTAGAAGGTTTTGTTGAATTTGCAGGCTATTCGAATCCACGTGGAGAATAGTGGAATCCAGCACGTTGTCATTGACAATCTTCAGTTTTTGATCAATCAGGGTATGATGGCCGACGAGAAGTCTAGCGGCTTGGATCGCTTCCACCTCCAGGTACAGTATTACTGTCAGTTAGACCGTCGGATAATAAACAATTTCAGGACCGCTTCGTTGGATACATGCGCCAATTGGCTACCCAGAACCAAATCCACATCACTATGGTTGTTCACCCAAGAAAGACCGATGGAGACACTGAGATTGACGTCCAGCACTTTGGAGGATCCGCTCGAGTCACCCAAGAAGCCGATAACGTTTTGGCCATCCAGCGGAAACGCGATGATCGTGATCGCTCAAAATTCAGAAAGTTCCTCTACGTACGTGGTTTTTTTTCAATTTTCGGGGGCTACTAATTTTCAGTTCCTAATATTTTCTTATTTTGAATAACATTCATTATTTAGATCCTCAAAAACCGCTACTATGGACGTCGAGTGGAGAGCGATCAACTCGAGATGGTCTTCAACCCATCTACCTACTCTCACACCGTTGTCGAGTTCCCAAAGTAACTCGTAATTGTAAATTATAATAAATTTCGATTTCTTCTTTTTCTCTCTTTCTCTCACCCCTGATGATCTCTCTCATTGGAGCTCATTTTCAGTTACGTAGTGCTTCCTCTCTTCTCATCTCCGTCTATTTTGAAGAAGAACTCTTTTTCCTCTCTCAAAAAACCAATCTTCACCCAGTAGGTCATTTTTTATTTTAACGTCTTTCTTTTCTTCTTTTTTGCCAAATCTGAATATTTATTTTTTCACATCTATTAATTCACACCAGTCGCGCGCTCTTCCCTAACGAAAACAATGCTTCTATAGATGGTCACTTAATAAAACTTCATTTTACTCGAAAAATTGCTGATTGAAGAACACTTGTGAAGATTCGAAAAAGTTGAGAAAGAAGAAAGGAATTTGGAAAGCATCAAAAAGGTCAAGATTTGTCACATGTTTTTTCGTGGAGCTGGGGGAGGAGGCGGGGGAGAAGATGTGGGAAGTATTCGAATTTGAGGCTGAAACTTTGAAAATCGAAAAATCGTCGAAAAACAAAGAAAAACTCACAATCGGAACATATTCACACACTATCTCATTGTTGTCGTGCCCAACAGCAATGACTGTCAACCCAAGGAGAATCACTATTCTGAAAGTCATAAAATTTTCAAAACCCGAGAATTTTGTATCTATGATGCCCTCTAATTAAGGAGGGATCTTCTATTTTTCTGGTGGTTTTTTCGATAAATTTCATTCAGTGAATTATTTTTAAAAATTCATACGAATCTATTAATTCCATCAAAATTGAGCAAGTGTTTGAGCAAACAATGATGTTTCAACACATTTCTGTAAAAATGTGGAATTTTAGGAATATTTTCCACCGAATATTTATGATTTCAAAGAACTGGTTTTGATAGGAACCCTTCTTATAACGTTAATCTTTATATTTTTTCAAGCTTTTCTTGAAAGGCCCTTCTATTGGAGGGGCCTTATGATGAAAAACTGCATCTTGAAAGATTTCTCACTTTTGTGAAAACAAAACGTTCATGTCTATTATTACAGCACAACAAAATTGTGATTAATTTTTCAAATGTCTAGAAATAGTCACCTTTCCCAAAATAAAAGTCGAATAACTTACATGGCCAGCGCGAGTAGGAACGGCTGATTGAATCCGAGCTGAGAAATAACGGCACCCATCAAGTTGTTCTATTATGCATCATTCGACCAAATCTGAATGAATGAACCATTAGAAATTACTCATGGGGAGGTGGAGAGAGCAAGAGAAGAGAGAACCCAAAAAGTCGTAAATCTCAAAGAGAGTAATTTGCGCGTTGGGCTCTCGGAGTGGAAAGTCATAAAATTGGACAGAAAATGGATGAAGGAAGAAAAGTGGATAAATCATAAATTATACCAAAAGGTAGAGTCATAAAAATAAGAACCAAGCGGACCCGTTGAATCGGTTAGAAAATAAGAGAGTGCGGGGTTTTCAAAGGGTTTCAGGCGATCATATTACATTGGTAATACGAAAATGCAATCGCGAAAACCGAGTATTGAGCATTAAAAGGAAGGGGAATAAAGGAAGACTTGTAGTTGGCACAAATAGAACAAGGAAGAGATGGAGCAAGAAAAGTTTTGAGAAAAAGAAGAATTAATTGGTTTGTGTAGTTAACCACATAAAACGTTGAAAACGTGCAGACATAAACGACAAATTCTCTCCCAAAACAGAAAAAGGACAAAATAGGTAGAAAAAGAGGCAAACCAAGTGTCTAAGAGACTTGGAAGAGACAGCTAGAGAAATTTGATTTATTATGAGTGAAAGCTTTTTTCCTTAGAAAATAGAGTAACGTTTTTTTCTTCTGTATATTTGAAAAAAAACTTGAGACACTAAAATTGTGCTAATTAGATGTGCTCACACAATTTTTTTTTGCTTTCCATGTTCCGCGACTTATCCTTCATACTCGTTCTATATTCCGTGTAAGCCGTATGTCAGATTAGTTGATGTCAGTCTAGAAAAAAGATGGAGAAAAATGTGTCAATAACTTGGCGAACGGATGGATGAGAAATCTCTCAAAAACAAAAAGTTCTAGTTTTTTCCATAAAGGACAGATGGAAAAGATTATGGAGCTTTCAGAAATATAATTTTTTAGAAATGCAATTTTTTTGAAATTTGAAATATTTTTGAATAAAATCGAAGTATAATTTTTGAGAAGTTTTTCTATTTATGAAATCGTTAAAATTTGGCAGATTGATAAAAGCGTGGAATGTTTCAAAGTATTGGAGGTGAAAACAGCTCTTGAGAGCTCAGTAACCGTAAAATGAGAAAGAAATGAACAAAAAACGTGAAGATTTTCTGAGAAGCAATTGGACCTGCCATGTGGTTCTCAAGGAAAAAAAAGATGACCTCCGAATTGAGCCAGGAAATAAACTTCTAAAAAAACGTTTACTCCCAGTCTTCGGACGTAGGCATGAAACCACTCACAACCTCAATATTGAACCCTACAATGAGTTATTGTGCTCCTAAGAAGTTTTTTTTTCGAAGAGTGGTAGAAAACGTACTCCGAAACTACTCCTGTTTGTAGAGTTTACATGAATAAATTGTGAAGGACTGGGTGGGGGCCTGCTCTCAGGCAAAGTACGAGACGAGATCCACTCCACAACTCTCCACACACGAAGAGCAAGGATGCCTTATTATTACACAGTGAGAAGGATATGATGAGGTCTGTGCGTCGGGGTTGTCTCAGTGGTGGCGCTCATTTGTGAAACGGAACAAAAAAACAGCACATATCTTTTGTCCGTTTGTATGTGTGTGCCATGTGCGCGTCGAATGCGGTTGGTGGTTGTGGGGTCCTTGTGAGAGGTGACGACGGACCCCGGACAAAGTGAAAAATGTCCCAAACGTGTGTATGCATGTGGCCCGTGAATGTGTAAAACACCTTCAAGGTACACAAAAAAGCTGTGGAGTGGGGCCGAAATTTTGTTGCGCGTTTACTTGAATTCGAGGGATTCCATATATGTTGAAATATGTATAAAAATCTTACTAGAATGAAAAGAGATAGTGGGCAAATCGAATTTTGCAAACTGACGAGAAAAACGGAAATTTGGAAAACTTCTACATCCGGAAAAAGAGATTGAGATCTTCAGGGCAAAATCTCATGCTTAATCCCCACACTAGGCGTGATCATTTGAATTTCAAAGAATCAGCAGATTACGGATTATATGACCATCAATTCGAAGCAAACTGATATATTCAAGTCTAATGCAAAAATTTTGCAACGAAAGCAACTCTCAAAAGATAATGAGCTATGCGATATAGTTTTCTAACAAGCCAAATAATGATTCTAATAAAATGAAAAAAAAACAAAAAGGAATGGGCCGAACCGGGGATTGAACCCGGGACCTCTCGCACCCAAAGCGAGAATCATACCACTAGACCATTCGGCCACACTATTCATCGCGGACATTTCCCAGTGTCAATCCACACACTCGCTGCTTTTCATTCTTTATTTTCTACCGCCATCCACTGCTTTCTTCGCGCCACTGGATGAGAGAGTTGAAAAATGGAGAGAAGTTAGAGGACAGTGAGGCGGTGGGAGTGTGAACAGGCGGAAAACAAGCGGAATGACACTAGGCAGGAACGCTCAGAAGTTTGTGGCCGAATGGTCTAGTGGTATGATTCTCGCTTTGGGTGCGAGAGGTCCCGGGTTCAATCCCCGGTTCGGCCCATTCCTTTTTATTTTTTCGAGAATTTTGTTAATTGGCTTGTTAGAAAATTGTACGTCATACCTTATTATTATTAGAATATTGTCATTCTTCTCACAATTTTTTTCTCTGCCAGGAGACGAATTGATAGTCATATCAAATTCAAATAAGTACGGTAAGTTTTATTGGTGACCATATAAACTGCAAAAATTTAGGATATGAAAATTGATAAACTTAAAAATTTTGAAAATAAGTAAAAATGGAAAATTGGTTTAATTTTCTATTATTAATCCAAAAACCTTATGCATGTTCGAATGAATAGATTTCATGAATCAAAACGATCATTAGAACCTGAATACGTAAATAAATATTGAAAATAATTTTTTTACTCAACCGGGAAATTTGTATTAGGGGAGCTCCCGTTATTATGTTTGAGCTAATTTATGTTGGCAGCCGTCGAAGATATAAAAATTTATCGACTGATAAAGTGTTTTTGATGTTTTCATGAACACTTTATCAGTTGACAGTTTTAGATGTCTTCGCCAGGTACCTAGATGAATTGGCTCAAAATTGAAAGTTAGGAAAGAATTACAGGTTTCACGAGATAATAAGTGGTTCCTTCAGCTGACAACTTGAATTTTTAAAGTATCACTGAACTTTGATAGGTTTGACCAGAAACCTATTGCATACGTTATCATAAATCATGAAAATGAAATGACAAGAAAATAAGGTTCTGAGAAAGTTTAGTTTCCTACATCAAGACAGGCACACTCAAATTTGTCATATTTCTTTGAGTCGCACCGAATTGCTGAACACCACCCATGGAAATACCAGAAACCACCACTTGCTGAGTCTAAACTCTACAATGGAAAAAGGGATTTAGAAGTGATGTGAGAGTGATTGAAGAAAGAACTAGTCCTTAGAAAGAGCTCAAAAGAAGCCAGTGAATCCCTCCTCCCTTTCTTCCCTCCGCAAAGTGAATGAGCGCGAAAGAAGTGAGAAAGAAGGAGCTGAACAAGAAGACGAAATAGAAGGCGAGCCAATAGAACATTCGCACTCTTTTCAACAACTACAACTACTCAAAGGCTCATTTAATTTTGGTGAAACCGAAGAAGAGGCTCCAAAACGATCTGCAGCTGTCAAAATGTGCAGTGCCTCCCATAAGTGCTAATTTGATTTTAATGGAAGCCGACCTGATCGCTGGCGGCATGGCTGAATAATTCATTTGTGGTGGTTGGAGGGTTACTCAAACGGAACGAAAACACATAACAGGTCAAGCTTGACTTCACTCAAGACAATGAGACCCCAAAAGGCAATTTATTGGAAAAAGAGTGGGAGCATTTTAAATATTTCCGTAGAATAAAAAAAAAGAAAATACCGTATTTTCTCAAGCAGAACCGCATCTTACACGTGCACTTCAAGCTCAATTATATACATTTCATTAAAAATGATCTAATCATTCTTAACTGATAAAGTATTCTTCATAACATTACCATAAAAAATTTCAAAGTTTTTTCAGAAAACCAGAATATTGTCAATGTTTTACAATTTTTTTTTCCAATTATAAATCATAATTTTTTTGCATATTCACCACAAACAATCTTAACGGAAACGATTGTTTTAATTCATTATCAGCCACAAATATTCCCAGGTAAACTTTGATCAAGATCAAAATTCCAATTCCGAAATCTATCCACTTCTACTAACATCAATCAGCCATGAATCCAGCAACTCGATCCAGTATTCCACTTATCCGAGAATTCAAAAAGTGACCGTTCGCATTGCGTCACTCGTTTGAAACCCTGTTTGGGCGTAGATTGCATCAATCATTTCCATTAATTGGAAACAGATCTTTTCAGAAAAAAACGTTCTGAATCGTTTATCGTCTATGGAGAGAAAAAAATCATCTCTTGATAGTTAAGCGATTCTGGAACCGGACTCGTTCAATTGTTTATACTGTTTTTGATTGGGCTACCAACAGGTTGTTTATAATAATTGCAAATTTGAAATTTCAAATCTTTTGTTAATTTCCCTATTTTTGAATTTTCTTTGCAACACAGAACATCGATCAAGATCCTATATAGTTTCAAGGTCTCAACCGTGTCGTCTTTTTTTACTAACAAGGACGGTGAATGTCACAATACGGACAATCTCCAGTTTTGATCGCCATTCTCTGCGAGGCGGTCTCTGTTGAGACTCCGCCCACTTTTGAAAACAAGAAAAGGTAGAAAAGGAGCTATATATAATCAGAGAAATAGTCACCAGAAGGCACCAGTTCTCTAGTTATTCTACTGTATTCAGTTTCTCATATAATAAAATGCCTTACCGATACTTGGTCGACAATTTAATAGTATCTGATTAATTGATGGATAGTATTAGTTGTGCGACCAGGAAATGGTATGAGCATTTCAATTTGAAGAAATTCTCTTTTATTACTTACATCTTCAGATTTTCAGATTAACATTAATCCAATTTTTCATGTAACTAATATTGGTTTTGAAAATGTTTTTTTGAAAAATGAAGAAGGTTTTTCGAGTATAACTAAAAATCAGAAGGAAAATCAGAAGGCACGATTAAAATTATTGTTCAATTCAGCAAACAGCTCTTCTCAAATAGACACTTGGAACCGGACGTGCCATTCGACCGCTGATCAGTTCAACGGTTGCGTTTCCATTGCGTTGTTTCTCGAAATCAATCATTTGTCTCCAGAATCCAATGTTCGGGGAGATGATTGGACGAACCTGAATTCAAACTTGGTATTCATTTGGATAACACTGAACATGTTTAAAGGTACTGAACAAAAACAGAAATTTAATTGTGTACTTGACAACTTTTTTGTACAAAGTGATTCATAGATATTATAGAATTGAGCATTTAAATAAATTTGCACAAAAAGTTATCCACAACAAGTTTGAAGCTGTATTTAAATTTAGTACATTCGAAATGTTCAGTATCATGAAACAAAATCTACTGTATTTTTAGAGATCGCAAGAAATCCATTTCAACCACTCGCAACGGGCCGGGCCGGGTCGAGGTTTTTTCAAAGTTTTCATGACCCGGGGTTGCAGTATTTTTTTCCTGTCTTTTTAAAGAATTTTCCAAACAGTTAAAAACAGGTATTCTGTCATTAGAAATATTTTTTCCAATAAAAACATTTGAGAACTTTTTTGGAAATTCAAATATTTTCTCATACCAGGGCCCCAATTTTCAAATATGGTTTCAACTGAAAAACTGGTAAATTCAGGGTTGCAATCTGACGGGCTGGCCGGCCCGAGGGAAAAAAACCAGGGCCCGGCCCGACCCGGCCGGCCGGCAATTAATTAATATTTGAACGAGCGCCATTTTTTTTTGCAACGATGCTCCGATATGACGATATGAAAAAGATTCGAATACCCCGGACTGTACTCAGCAGCACTTTTCGTTTTTTCGATTGTTCCCAGTGAAGCCATGTGTGAGACTACGTTCAGCGCTGCGTCGTTTTTGTTAGATAAAACAAGAACAAGATTACTGTACAAGCGTGTGGAGATGGTCGTTCTGGGTTCGCAAATAGCCACGAAATTTCCACACTGGCTCGACTGATTCTCTCACTAATTGTAGTGATTTTTCTAGTTAATTTTATGTAACTTTTCTATCTTTTTTGTTGGATTGGTTGATATGAGCTTTAATTTTCTCCCCCGGTTTCCATTTCTTTGTTTCCCCTTGTTCATTTATACGGTTTTTACATTGTTATGCTACTTGTTAAGAAATAAATTCAAATAATTCTTCAATAATTTCTGTTTTTTCTTAAATTCGAACTGGCCGAACCGGCCGAACCGGCCGGGCCGGGCTGGCCGGGGCTTCCGGCCGGGCCGGGCCGGAAAAACAATAATCTCGGCCCGGCCCGGCCGGTCGCAACCCTGGATAAATTCAATTCAATTTGGTGCGCTATGTTACCTTATTAACATGAAGATACGCTTCTTCTAATGACAAGTTTTCGGTGACCATCAAATAGACAATTGTAAGCGTGGGACTTCTGCTAACACCTGCCGCACAGTAGATGACCGTGTTATGTCCTTTTTGCTTGGCATCTTCTATAAACTTCACAACCGGCTCGAAATACTGACCAATTTTAGCTAATGTGTTATCTTCAACCGGCACCTGGAAAATGACATGAACATTTTAAACGTTTCAGAAACTAATCTCTAACCTCCAGCCTTTCCAAGCCAGGAATTGGCTTTGTTTTCATATTTGTGCATTCTACGGCATGTGTGATGTTGTATTGTTTCAGCTGAAAAGATTTGTTACAATATGAAATAATTTTCAAAAGCTTGAAACAAACCAGGGAAGGAGTAATGCATCCATAACCGGCCAAAAAAAGGTGGGGACGAACTTCGGTAATGGAGAGCAAAGTCTTCGTATGATTCATTGTGGGTTTTCTAAAAACTCAAGATAACAAATTAAAATTGTGGAATTGATGACGAAATGAAACGACGTAGAAAAAACGGAGCACCACATGACAAGGAGGTGGAGGAAGAAGATAAAGTGAAGAAAACAACATGGAAAACGTGATCTGTTTTTCAAATTCTTTTTCTTCAACTTTTCCTATCCCTTCCTCCGCTTGTTCCAAGAAAAAAAGAAGGAAACGTTTCAAGAACAAGACTTCTGAAAAGAAAAAAGAAACGAGATGAAAAACTGGAAAATGACCTTTTTTTGTTCCAATGGTTTTTTTCGGGGGCCCTAGAGTCGCAAAGATGTTTGTGTGTGTGCTCGCTACTGGTTAAGATTTCGAGTGGTCGGACGTCAGCTCTTTTTTTTTTGAGTGAGGAGGAAGAGAAATATCAAAAAATGTAAGACAACAGGTGAGAGAACCGAGGGTCATAAACAAAAAAAAACGAATCGCGAGATATAAAAACAAACCTCAAAGCACTTTTTGATTAAATATGGAAGATATCGACCAAAGTCTCAAAGACCCCGCAAAATAAACATTGAAAAACAACCACGCGAATTACAATTCCAATGATTTAATCGGAAATTTGACAAAACATAAAACTGAAAATATATCTGAAACCGTTTGAAAAAAGAGCATTTTGCAGACATCACCATCAGCCATTTTCGTGATTGGGTTATATCAACTTCTGTTTGTATAACCACAACCGAAGTGGCTGAAAGGAACTTTCCAAATTTTTGGTAAAAAAATCCCGTTTTTTACTGAGTCATTTTTGTAGCGTTGCAAAATATACCGGAATCAATAATAATAATATGATTTGAGGCGGGAAGCAGGGCAGCTCCCTCTGTTGAGCAACAAGTGAGAAATGAAAAGAGCAGATGTTTCGAATTGTGAAAAGTTTGGAAGAGTGGTCGAATACGCATCACTTTTGTTTCAAACGACGTAAGACGTAATGAAACGTTTTGAGAGTGAAACAAAATCAATTAATAGCTGTTTATGTGACTGTCAGAAAAAAATCAATCCGCTTAAATTCATATTTGAAAAATCAGGAACGGACCGCAGTTTTCCAAAACTTTTCGCAAACTTAGAAATTTTGAAAATTGTTTTGCGAAAGAAACATTGTTCAATTACATTTCGTTTTTCGCGAGCTCATTACTAGAAAACAAAATTTGTTTTACTTTTTTTTCAAACTGACCCCGAATTTTTTTCGAAAACACTATTAAATTATTGAAAACTGGGGTGAAACGGTCCGACCCGTTGCAGCTCGGTGAATGTTTGAAAACTATTTCGACTTTCATATTTTTTAAGTGAAAACTTTTATAGTTTTTGGTTAGTTTTGGTTAGCTTTTCTATCACTCATCTGCTTCTCTCAAACTGCCTAAAAACGTTTTGGTTTGTTGGACCTTCTACTGAAGACTCATTTTCCAAAATGCTGGAAAATCTCTATTTACTGGTTACACACAACGATTTCAATTGTCCTGACTTTTGAAAAAAAAAACTCCTTCAAACAGCTCGAGCAAATGAAACTATTTATATGACGTGATTAAAATACAATTTACAAAAAATGCAATATAATTGAAATAAAATCACAATTACGATTCAAGTGATATCGTGGAAATACATTTGACAGCATACTTGAACATCATCGGCAGTGATTGAATGTGTGTGGCAATGCTTCATGGGAGATACGTTCACTGGAGCACTGAAACCAAAATATTTGCTACATTTACTTTAAAAATTCAATCTAGTTTTTATTATGTATGAGCTGGATATGTTTCGAACACGACGATGTCCCTTAATGATGTTTGAACTGATCAGAAAATCTTTCAGGCTAACGTCAGCAGCACTGGGAACATTAGCCCTCAGATTTTATGAAACAGAGTTTGACCAAAAAGTCAATATTCCGGTTTCATGGATTCCAGCACTTTTACAAACAAACTCACATTGATTCTCAGTCTGCTCGGAAGTCGTTGCCTCTGTTTCCTCATGATCGGCAGAAGAATTGAGCTCCTCAACAGCGGATGTATCCGGCGATGATGAAGAAGAAACGCATGTAGATGAATCGGTGTCCGACGGTTCCTCTTGTGAATCAACGTACCATTCCTCGGCTGGATCATAGTCGAGAGTTGAATCAAAACTCTCTTGTGATGACTCTTCAGCATATTGTCGTGTTGGAACCCAGTCGGCGGCAAGAGATCTCTCGTAGAGAGAATGCGCAAAGGATGGTCCCACTGGCTTTGGCGGCTCATCCGTGAAGCTATCCCTAGACCCGGGCTCAGGTGGCGTTTTCTTTGGAGTGCGGATAACCTTGTTACCGAAGATCTTCTCCATATTACCTGAAAAAACAAATTACCTGTTTACATGCAGAGAAAATCGATAAAAAATAACGC